GCAACGAGGGAGGTCTTGATAGCCGTGGAGCTAGCCGGGCAGTTGGTGACCTCAGGGCCGCAGGAAGTGACAGTGCGGGGCAGAGCCAGCGGGGATAGAGTCAACAGGGGCAGAGCCAGCAGGGACAGGAGCAGTTTCCGTAGCAGCGAAGCTAGTGGTAGAGATAGCAACGAGGGAGGTCTTGATAGCCGTGGAGCTAGCCGGGCAGTTGGTGACCTCAGGGCCGCAGGAAGTGACAGTGTACAGCTGAGTGGCGTAGACAGTCGAGACACCGGCGGCGGGGGCAGAGCCAGCGGGGGCAGAGCCAGCAGGAGCAGAAGTCAGGCCAGAGACGTCAGACGACGGGGTAGGGGCCTCGCCGACAGCGGGGGCCGAAGTGGCGGGAGCGCCGCCACCCAGGGTGATGCCGCTGGGGCAGTTGGTGATGAGGCCCGGGTTCTCGGGGATGTGCGCCGCGCAGATACCGACCAGGTACGACAGGCCCTGCGAGATTTCGTCGTTGTGGATACCCCACGCCGACACGCAGTCCATGACGTTCTTGGTGTACTCGACGTCCTTGCAGTAGCACTCGTAGTCGGTGTTGCTCTTGCAGCTGGACTTGTGCTTCCACGTGTTCAGACACTTGGGGAGAACACCGGGGCAGTCGGCGGTAGGCGAGGCCTTGGTCGTGGACGAGGCGCCCAGGACGCTGCTGACAGCGGGCAGAGTGCCCGAGGGCTGGAAGCCGCCGGGGAACGAGCCGGAGGGGGTGAGGAAGGGGAACGAGCCGGAAGGAGTAGGGATCGCGCCAGAGGGGAACAGGCCCGAGGGAATGGGGCCAGCACCGCCGGTCTGGGTGGCAGTCACGGGGCAGATGGTCGTGCCAACAGCAATGGTCTGGGTAACGACAACCTCGGAGCTTCCGGACAGGGAGGTCGACAGAGAGGTAGAGTAGATGGTCGAGGTGCTGTAGGAAGTGACCTCGCCCTGACCGGGGAAGTTGGGGAAGCCGGGGACACCAGGGGCACCGGGGGCACCGGGGGTACCAGTGACAGCAGGGCCGGTCTGGGTAGCAGTAACAGGGCAGATGGTCGTACCAACGGCAATAGTCTTGGTGACAACGACCTCAGAGCTTCCAGACATGGAGGTCGACAGAGAGGTAGAGTAGATGGTCGAGGTGGTCAGCTGAGCAGGGCCAGTGGGGAAAGCCGGGGTAGCAGCAGGGAAGCCGAGAGAGACGGTAAGACCGCCACCGAAGCCAGCGTCGGGAGTCTGGACACCAGCACCGCCAGCTCCGCCGGCACCGAAACCAATACCGAACTCACCACCAGCAGTGTGGGAGCCAGCGCCACCAGCACTGAAGCCGATGCTCAGACCAGCCTCGCCGCCAGGGGTGTGGATACCAGAGCCGCCAGCACCGAAGCCAATACCGAACTCGCCGCCAGCAGTGTGGGAACCAGCACCGCCAGCACCGCCAGCACCGAAGCCGATGCTGATACCAGCCTGGCCACCAGGGGTGTGAATACCGGAGCCGCCAGCACCGAAACCGATGCCGAACTCGCCGCCAGCAGTGTGAGAGCCAGCGCCAGCGGAACCGCCAGCGCCGAAGCCAATACCGAAGCCAGCCTCGCCGCTGGCAGTGTGAGAGCCGGAAGCACCAGCGCCGAAACCAATACCGAACTCGCCACCAGCAGACTGGGAGCCAGCGCCAGCAGAGCCGCCAGCGCCGAAACCAATGCCGAAGCCGGCCTCGCCGCTGCCGGAAGCACCACCAGCAGAGCCACTGCCGGACGCACCGCCAGCAGAACCACCGATGCCAAAGCCGGCACCGAAGCCAGCAGAACCGCTGCCGGACGCACCGCCAGCAGAGCCGCCAATGCCGAAGCCAGCAGAACCACCGCCAACGATGATGCCAGAGCCGCCGTTGGAACCGCACTCCCAGCCAACGCTGTGAATGCCAAAGTCGGTCTCGTCCTGGGAGCTGTGCTCAGGGAGCCTGAAGGAGACAGAGGTCGCGCCACCGCACTGGCTGTTCTTGATGGTAGAGCCGCCACTGTTGCAGCGCGAGACGTGCTTGCACTGGGAGCCGTCGGCCATGCCGTACAGGAACTCGACGTCAGTGTCGTGGGAGGTGGAGACGTGGAAGTTGTCGACGGAGAAGCCCTTTTGCTTCTGCGCGCCGGTGCACTCGATCTTGGGCGCGCTCTCGAGCGCCTTGGTGATCTTGCTCAGCGCGCACTTGCTGTGGCGCTTGTGCAGGACGTCGCGCTTGCCGAAGCTGCTGCTGCACGTGAAGCCCGGCAGGTTGAAGCCCGAGTACGAGCTGCCGATCGACGCGCCGTCGGCAATGCCGCTCCAGTCCCAGCCGGACTTTTGGTGGTCGCTACACTCGTTGTCGGCGTTGGTGGGGCAGAGGTAGCCGTAGTCGGAGCCCCAGAGATCGCCGAGGCTTCCCCAGGTCTGCGTTTGATGTTAGGCCATGTGGGAGTTGGTAGTGGGTTTGGTATAGAACTTACGGCAGAGGCCTGCTGGGCAGCAAGGCCCGTAACGAGGAGGGAGACTGAAGTCACCTTCATGGTGATTCAAGTTGTAAAGACTAATAAGGAAAGGGTTGTTGTGTGTCTGTATTAACTCAAAAGACAGTGTGATATGTATATAATGGAAAAAGAATAGTCGGGAGGCAAGAGCAAAGAAAAGAATGACTTTGGCTCTTGGCTGCAGACGCCTTCTGAAAGAATGGAAGGAAGGGCGACTGTCGAGTAAAGGGCCCCAGAGAGCGAGCCATTGGGGATAGATATAGAGGCGGGCGCGGGAGCAGAGCTCGTATCCAGAAAGCATGCATTGAAGCGCGAAACATGGGCGGGCGATCCACTCGGACCCGGCAGGGCCCCGGGCACTGCTGGAGAAGGGACAAGCACTGGGGTGGGGTGAGGTTTACCGTTTGCCGGCACTCGTCGGCTTGGGCGAATTGAAACTCGAAGCGGGGCCGCGCTACTGCAGGTACGCGAGAAGAGATACTCCTTTTTTGGCCGTCACGCTGCATATTGCTGCACTGCATGTTGCTGACTGCGGTAGGTAGGCCGTTTCTTCCCACTCACGCGCGCGCGCATACGCATCCAACGCAACATGGCTGACAGACCGTTGGAATTGGCAAAGACGTTGGCAGCCACATACTCCTACCTACAATCCTTCCCGTCTGTCAGCATCCAGATAGGGAAGACGCTGGGCCCGGGCGTTTCAAGCGAACAGGCGACCTTCCCTCACCGCTGACTCGTCCCACTCGTTGCCGGCCTGTGTTTCCTATCTCTGCCGCCTCGTCGGGGAGGTGGCAGTGCTCAGGTCGCTGGGTGATGCGTCGCAGGGGCTCATTCTCCAAGCGAGAGCCGCTGCTCTCCTTTCGGCCATCTCCCGGCCCGCCTTTGCTGCCTTTGGTTCGCCCGCTCCGCCTCCGCCGTACGGTCCGGATATCCTACCCTCCTGCCAAGCCGTTTCGCTAGCTTCTGGCCTGTTTGATCTGCTCTTTACCTCAAGAACAGGCGTCCAAACTGCTAGGACAAAGCCATCGCTATACGGTGGAGACGGTGACGGGTGGTTGTCTTCTTGTTTGCACGCTTCCAAATCATCGAGCTGAATTGTGGTCGACACCAGACAGCCTCGCGCAATCCAGGAACGGCCCCCCGAGTTGTCTTTGCGGCCATGCTAAGTCTGCATGATCTGATAGACGAAGCACTGCTCACATTGTGCGACTGCCGACAATCGCCACCCAGATACTACTTACGACATCCTAGCATGGGGCGGAAGGCGCAAATTGCAGAGATGAGAACATCCCCACGGTAGCACGGGAGCGTCATGGCCCGATTGGTGCGAGGCCGGGCCTGTCGAATAACTAATTGCGCAAACATGTTATTAACATGGTGTTGAGCCGAGGGGGCCTTGACGGACCTATGTTTAGAAAAAGGGCCTCGAGCGGAGATTGCTATGGCACGCATCTCGCAGTCTGGTTCTTTTGGACTTTGGTTAACGCATGGCACATATTCGCCGCTAGAGGGTGTTTTTCGATAGGCTGCGGCTCTAAGCAGGCTCATTGATTTCCGATCACGAACTCCTGGAGCCATGATGTTTGGCAATGAAATGGGCGTCAGGCCATGCGCGGGAGGGGGGCAGAGAGCCAGACAGCTTCATACAGACCCCGGCAGACGACTTTCGAGGACTGCGGAGACTAGAGACGAATGCCGAGTACGACTATTGTACGCAGTGCATTACAGACAGGCATGGTCGGAAGCCTAATGCAGGGGAAAGAACAGTGGATACAGCGGAATAGGTGAGAGACATGGCTCCTTTGGGCAGCAGATCGTCGAGAGTTAATATTGGCGCCCGCAGCGACGGGAGATGGAGAAGTGAGACAAACCGCTCGGGGTGTGGAGAGGACCAGGGACAAGGCGACTGAAAGGGGAGAAGTGCAATGCAGGAGGCGGCAATCATAGCGCTGACGAAAGTCGACCAGCAGATTGGCCCGCCTTCCCCGCAGCATGTATGTCCAACACCCATCCATCATCGTTGAAGATGAAGAAGAGTACAGTGGTATGGCCAAGGTTTGTTAGCTATGGTGCCGGCCTTGGCCCCCGTCGGTGCCGTGTTTCCGCAAAGTCAGACAAAGCATCCCTGCCCGCCCGCTTGACGAAGATTATGATTATTCGCGAACACCTTTTTCTCCTGGGCCACACCACTCCAGCTACCACGACCCCCCAAAACAACCCACGGCTCTCGCTGGCCGCAGCTGCTCCCGCCTCCCTCCCACCATCGTTAACTCTCATCTATGGGCTCTCCGTCTGGCTCATCTAGCGCTCGACTCCCCTCCGGCCGCTTCGCGACTGTCGCTTTCGCAGCCCCGCGCGTGGCCCTCGGACTCTCCCAGACTGACGCCAGCTTTGCCTCGCTGCTGTGGCGGGTATTGGCGGTCGGTCCGCCTTGAACGGGCGGACGGTAATCGTGGTGTAAAGTGAAGTGAACGCTGGGTAAGTGCGACACGGCAGCAGCAGCAAAGCACTCAGCTCTGACCTTGCCCTTCCTCACAGTGTTTCCCTCCTCAAACTATCGACTTACTACTCTCCGCGTAACGGCATACATCCGATATACATTCTACCCTACAACATGTTTGCCTTTGAGCCCCACGACGACCACCTGCAGGTGCCTCAGGCCGACCCGCTGACGGACCTGACGCACCCGGACGGCATCCCGATTGCCGGCGCGTCCGCAGCCCCCTTCCCCGACACCATGGACGACGCCGACTTTGAGGAGCGCTCGATGCGCTTTGCGCGCAACATAGCGCGCTCGCCGCCGGTCAAGGTCGCGGCGCAGTCGCCGCACCGGCAGGCCATGCTGAACCAGGGCTCGCACGCGCAGGCGCTGGGCGACAAGCTCAACATCGAGCAGGCGCGCAAGAACGCGGCCAAGAAGAAGAAGAAGAAGCGCGCCAACAAGACGCCCGCCGCGCCCGCCATGCAGACGATCCGCGGCTTCCAGACCCCCGTCACCTCGGGCGGCGAGGAGTCGGACGTGTCCGCCCTCAGCACCCCGCGCTTCGGTCCCCACGTCGCCGACCTCTCCAGCGTGACCAGCAGCCCGGCGCTGCGCCCTACGTCGTCCTGCGCCGGTATTAGCTCGCTGAAGTCGCAGCTGGACAAGCTGAGCATGGGCTCCGGCGCGGCGGCGCGGCAGTCGCCCTCGATGATGGCGGCGTCCAGCAACGCCAGCGTCATCTCCGACATCGAGTCGATCAACAGCGACAGGACGGAAATGGACAGCTACCAAGTGAACATTGACGAGGACTTTGCGGCGCCCGAGAGCAAAGTGGCGGGGGCTACGAGCGGGGCGGACAGCAGCGACGTGGAGCCGCCGCCGCCGCAGCAGCAGCAGCAGCAGCAGCAGAAGCAGCAGAAGCAGCAGGCGAAGAAGGGTCCCGCGCGGCCCAAGATGACGGCCGACGACTTCGAGGTGATTAGCTGCCTGGGCAAGGGGTCGTACGGGACGGTGCTGCTGGTGAAGCAGAAGACGACGGGGCGGCTGTTTGCGCAGAAGCAGCTGAAGAAGGCGTCGCTGACGGTGCACAAGAAGCTGGTCGAGCAGACCAAGACGGAGCGCATCATCCTCGAGAACGTCAACCGCCACCCTTTTGTCGTCAAGCTGTACTACGCCTTCCAGGACCACGCCAAGCTCTACCTGATCCTCGAGTACGCGCAGGGCGGCGAGCTCTTCCACCACCTGGCCATGGAGCGCATGTTCAGCGAGGACGTGGCCGCCTTCTACATGGCGGAAATGGTGCTGGCACTCGAGCACCTGCACCGCAACATCGGCGTCGTCTACCGCGACCTGAAGCCGGAAAACTGCCTCCTCGACTCCGAAGGGCACCTGCTACTAACGGACTTTGGACTCTCGAAAGTCGCCGTCAACGACGCCGACACGTGCAGCTCCATGCTCGGCACCGCCGAATACATGGCCCCGGAAGTGATCCAAGGGCGCGACTACGGCATGGCCGTCGACTGGTGGTCGCTGGGGGCGCTGGGCTTCGACCTGCTGACGGGCGCGCCGCCCTTCTCGGCCGCCAACACGGCAAAACTGCACGACAAGATTGTGCGGCAGAAGCTGCAGCTGCCGTACTTCCTCTCCCCGGACGCAAAGGACTTGCTCACGCGCCTGCTGCGCAAGGAACCCGCCAAGCGCCTCGGCGGCAACATGCCCAAGGACCTGGCTACCATCAAGGCGCACCGCTTCTTCCGCGGCATTGACTGGAAGGCCCTCGCGAAAAGGGACGTGGAGCCCCCGATTATCCCCCTGATTACGGACCCCGAGCTAGCCGAGAACTTCTCCAAGGAGTTTACGGAGCTGGCGACGAGCCCCGTCGTCGGGGCTAGGATGGGGATGGGGATGGGGATGGTGGCGCCACCGCCGGCTTTTGGGCTGGGTATGAGTGTTGGTGGGGGTGTTGGTAGCGGTGGTGCGATGGGGGCGGGTAATGGTAATGGTGCCGTGCCCCGCGAGGAGCAGGATCCGTTTGGCGGGTTTAGCTTCGTGGCTAGTAGCAGCCTGTTGGAGTGTGGCGACGGGGCCGTCTTTTGACTCGTTGGTGTTGCTGTTATTGCGACGGATGACGCGCCTCCTCTGGGTTGGGGGCGTCGTGGTGTTGGTGGCTGCAGGGGGGAGGGAGGTGATTTTTTCATTTTTCATTTTTTTGTACGACTTGGTCATTGCTTGCTTGCTTGCTTGCTTGCTTGCTTGCTTGCTTGGGCTGGATGGATGCATGCATGGGTGGGTATACGGACACAGACAGACAGACAGACAGACAGCGGTGCTTCAATTCAGTTCGTTCATCAACCAGTCGTTCATTCGTCGCAAGAGGGCTAGCTAGCTAGCTAACTAAGTAACCAACTAGCAGCCTCGCGTGCATGCATGTCGTGCAGAAGGCAAACATAAAGAAAAGGTAAAAAAGAAAAAACCACCACAACCCCTCCAGCTATCCCAGATACCACCACCCACCCCACCCACCTACCGGTCCACGGTAATCAACCAGCCATCCCCGCGCACGCGTCCACCCTCATCCACACCCCCCCACGCCACCACGCTCGCACCATCGACCTCGGTGCCCGCCGCGGCCGCGAACCCGGCCCGCCCGCCCATACCCACCTCCCCGGCCGCGACCAACTCCGCCGGCGCGCCCACCTCGTCCCCGCTCGCGTCCACGTACCGGTACCGCACCTCGGCCCAACGGCCCGCGTGCGTGTCCAGGCGCGCCGAGCCGCGGACGGCGTCCTTTGCAGCCGCGGCCGTCGAGGCCGGCGAGGGCAGCTGCAGCGCTAGGATCGACGAGTAGAGGCGCGACGACGACGATGACGCGGCTGCGGTCGGGCTGCCCGGGCTGAGCGCGTCGTCGACTGGGTCGGCCTTCTCGAACCCGGGCGTCTCGGCGTCCAGGCTGCTGCCCAGCTGGGGCGTCGCGTGCACGCCGCTGCTGCCGATGCCGCCGCTGTTGGCCGACATGGACCGCGCCCCGCCCACCAGCAGCGCGTAGCCCCGGCCCTGGCCCGTCGTGACGGGCAGCAAGGCGGCGCCGGCGCGGGGCTCGGGGCCTGCTGCGTCCTCGTCGCTCGCGGCGGCGGTTTTGTCGTCCGAGGCAGTAGCCGGAGGGTGCGAGAGCGTCTCCCACTCGCCCGACAGCGTCCTGCTAGGGCGGCCGCCCGCCGCCGAGAACTTCCACAGGCCGGAGACGTCGAGCGAGGCGACGGGGCGGGGGACGGGCATGGTGGGGGAGGCGGTGGCGCCGCCGACGAGGTAGAGGCGCGAGCCGGAGAGGGCGAGGGCGGCGCCGATGCGGGCAGGGCCCGGCGGCGGCGCGAGTGATATCCACGTGCGGCTGCGCACGTCAAAGGCCCAGAGGTCGTGCAGGACCTGGGATTTCGCGGCGGCGGCGGCTTCGGCCTCGGCCTCGTCAGCGCTGTTGTTGCCGAGCGCGCGTCCGCCCGCCACGAACAGCGTGCCCCAGCTCTCGGGCTCGGGCGGCTCGGGCACCGTCTTGGCCGGGTCAGGCGGCTGCTGGGGCAGGATGTTTGCGGGCGGGGCGTTGACCTGGCGGGGCGCGGGCTCCTCGGCCGCAGCGGCAGCGTGCAAGGCACGAGGAGAGGGAGCGGGGGCTTCGGGATCGGAAGGCACGAGGCGCGACCAGGCGGCTGTGGCGGTGGAGAAGGCCCAGACGGTGCCGGGCTGCTCGGCCTCGGTCTCAGCGGAAGCAGCGGCATCCAGCTCGCCGCCGAAGATGAAGATGTCGTCGCCGACAACGACGGCGCTGTGCTGCTTGCGGGCAGCAGGGACCGGGCCGCCGCTGGTACCGGCGCGCGGCTTGATGGCGTAGTAGTCGGCCTCGAGGACGCCGGACGAGGGCAGGATGACGACGTGCATGGCGTTGTCGGCGAGGTGGCCGTCGGGGCCCTCGCCACCGAAGATGTAGGCGCGGCCCTTGACGACGGCGAGGGTGTGGCCGGCGCGCGGCAGCGGGGCAGAGGAAATGTGGGTGAGGGAGGCGCGCAGCGGCTGCGTCGGATGCAGCATGCCTTTGGCGAAGCCGAAAGCGCCTTGGATGACGCTCGAGGCGCCGTAGAGGGCGCCGACGGCTGACTCCATGGAAGAAGGATGTAAGAATTGAGGTGGTTGAGAGATGTAGAGAGATGTGAAGAGGTGTGGAGAGGTGCAGATGCAGATGGTAAGAGTAGAGAGTTTGGATCAGCTGGTCGAGCGGGGAGTCAGCCCCACTTGTGACGTACCCGCCCGTCCACTTCTCCGCCAACTCGCGAAAATCCCGACATTCTACCTGCTTCTGTACCTGTTCACTGGCAGCAAACTATCTGAATCAACTGCATCAACTGTCCATCGTGCCACATTCCTGACCCCCTTACCACTCTGACGTACCGCCGACCCGCATCATTCATCCTCTAACCCCATTTGTGCGAGGAATGAGTGAGTATTTGCTTTTGTTTTACTTGACATCAGCCTGTGTGGCATACTATGAGGTGAAGTCTACTATATTGTGTGCGAAGGCGCTTCCCCCCCTATCTCCCCTATTCCCATTCCCCACTCTAACCACCCACCACTCCGCTCCGCTCCGCCGCCCTTCCCCAAACCAGCCAGCCACCACAGCGGGCGGCCGGCACCGGCACCGGACCGGAACGCGACGACGCCCAGCGCGCATGCTAGCTCGCTAGAGGGCGGGGCTACCGCTAGCCAAAGCTACTTCTGGGGGCGCGCGGGGTAGCGGACCCTGGTATGGGCCGGAAGTGGAGACTTGGTGGCAGACAGACAGAAGAAGGAGGAGAGGAAGAAGGGGGTGGGCGAGAGGGGGGAACGGAGATGGCATGCCGACACTGGCCACGTACATAGGTACAATGCGCTGGATACGGGGCTTGCGCGCCAACCAACCTACTCTAGTAAGTACGAGGGGGGAGTCGGGCCGTGCCGACGCGTGTCGTGCGGTGGATCAAAGTCAATTTTCATCTGGAGAGGAGTAGAGTAGTGATCAAGTCCAGCGATGGAGAAAACTGTTGGGAGGAGGGGTATGAAGCGTTATTCATGTCTGCGGTAATAGTATCCTCTAGCGGTATATCCAATGCCAATGCCAATGCCAATGCCAATGCCAATCAAGTGACGACGAGAAGCCCGACGGTCTCCCACTTTCGGGCCATAACGCCCGTTCGCGCAAAACGACGACGACGACGATGATGAGGAAGAGGAGGAAAAACAACAACAACAACAACAACACTGACACCGACAATCGACAAAGAAGACTGACTGACTGACTGACAGAAACACACACGCACGCAAGCGGCTGTTCTTCTTGCCCGAAAGCGCGCTGTCGACAACTGCGACAGTGCCTTTTTTTCTTTCTCTTCTCTTTCTTCTCTTTCTCTTTCTCTCTCTTTTTTGTCTTTCCTTCCCCTCCCGTCCCGAAAACAAGATATAACTCCACAAGAGACCCGGCGCTAAAGAGTATCAACTACAAGCGATGGTAATGATGATGAACGCTGACGTGGCTCGAAAAATGCGGGATGGAAAAGCAAAAAAAAAGAGTACTAGAAACTGCAGGCATATTGCAGGCGAGAAGTGATATCAATCCCTCGAAAGAAGGTTAAAAAAAAAGAATAATGCCTCAAGGGAATAATATGAGACAGGTGATGATGATGACGCCGGGTGCTGAGAGTGCCCAAATAATGTAGAAACTGGGAAAAAAGGGAAATGGACAAATGAAAAAAAGAAAGGCCTTCCCACCAATATAATAAGAAAAAAAAAAAAAAAAAAAAAAAGAAAAAAAAAAAAAAAACAAGGAACGTGAGTCGCTTCGGCCTTTTTTTGTATTTTTTTTTATGTAAAAAAAAAAAAAAAAAAAAAGAAAAAAAAAAGGCTAAAAAAAAAAAAAAAAAAAAAAACGCCAGACATGACATATCTCTGCTGTATGTCGCCGGCACCGCCGGCATAAGTATCTTTCTCTCTCTCTCTCTCTCTTTAGCGTTGACGCTCGGTACGAACGCGCCTCTTCGTCCTAAACTTCCTGGCTGCGCTACTTCCCGACTTCTGGGACTGGGCGTCCGGGTCAACGAGCGTGCGACCGAGCGGCATACCACTGATGCGCTTCATGTCTTCGCGGTGAGCCTTGCGGCGCTCGATGCGGCGCGAGTCAACCGTGTCCTGACTGACATGGCCGAAGCCATTGCGCCGGCGGAAGCACAATTCCATGAGCGCGTTGGCGTCGATCAGCCGCCGCGGTAGCGTCTGGATGATCTGGAACACTTCCATCGGATCGCTGATGGCGCGGATCTCCGCCTCGCCGATCTTCATAATCGTCAGGGCGATCCGGAACAGCGTCTTGCTACCTTCGTAGAAGAAGCTGTCCCAAACCCGCAGCACCGTCTCGATGGGGAAGCTGCCCACGAACAGCGACATGAACCACGACGTCATTGCCAGCGAGACCGTCGGCAGCCGTGCAGCCGCCGTCGCGACCCTGCTGCCACCCGCCTCCATGTCCGAGGTGTCGTCAATCTTGTTCCAGATGGCGGGCATCGATTCGCGGATGCACGACATGAGGACGCCAATGTCGATGTTGGCTTCGAGAACACGGCTGTGCGTGCCGGGTAGGTGGAGCGTGGTGATGATGTCGAGCAGAATAAAGGCCTTCTCTTCGTCTTCGTCCAGGAAGATGAGGAGCAGGCCGGCAAGGAAGTTGAGCGACTGGCAGTAGCCGATGCCCGGGTTGTGCACGGCAAAAGCCTGCAGAACGCGGCGCAGCGCGCGCAGAATGGGAGTCTCGCACTCCGGCGTCAACTCGGTCGCCCGCGTGTCCAGCATGTGTGCCGCGTTCATCGAAGCCCGCGATTCCGGCCGGAATTTGACGTTGTCCGGGAACGTCCGGTTAAGGTCCCGCTCGATATGCTCGCGATCCTGCTCACTAAGTTTGCCGTCGCCAACCTGTTCGATCAACTCCCAGTACAGACCAGGCTTCTTGGCCATCCAGTCAGGCCCGCCAGCATACCAGAACCACGCGGCGCCCCTCCATTCCGGGGGAATGCCCTTGCGGATGAATCTCTTCACCTTTTCCGTCCTGGGGGGGAATTTGACCGGGTTCTCGGTGGGCAAGCCATGCTGTCTCATAAGATGGACCCACTTCTTGCGTCGCCGTTCGACGTGTTCCGTGTAGGGGCCATTCCAGGCGTCGTATTGCTGAACGGTAATGTGTTGCGAAGTCTTTTTGAAGCCGTATTGGTCGCGGGGTATCGAGGAAACGCCGACAATGGCTTCTTTCCGGTCTTTCGGGACCTGGGCGGATGCCCGGGGTGCGAGAATCTCGGTGAACGACCTCACCTGGGACGCCGAGTGAGGGGGTTGGTTGACAAGAGGAGCAGCAGGCTCCTTAAGAGTGACGGTCTGGGTGATAACCCGCGATTGGCGAGCTGGTGTGACGTAAGGAATGTCGTGATCGTTCTCGGGCAGCTCGGGGCCTAGCGCCGAGTCGCGCATCATGGTCATGGTCGAGTGCCTCCTGGCTCTTGGTGGAGTCTGCGGCTCTTCCAATCCTCCTCCATTCATGGGCACCTGCGAGGAATAACCTTCGTCGGATCCATCTGGTATTTCTTCCACCGCCGAATCGTCCTGAAAGCCATGCTCGTACATGTCAATAGCGTCCTCGACAGTCATTCCACCGTCCTCGGCATCGGTTTGCTCGGCGTCGGTTTTCTCAACGTCGGTTGCGTCGGTTTGGTCGGGTTCAGTTGTAGGGACATCGCTGTCGAAACCGCTCCTTTCTGTAATGATGCTGCTGCGCTCGGTTCCGCTCGCGTCGACGAACCCGGATGAAGCATTGGTGAAACCGGAGCGATAGCTCGAGCGGAACTCATCGGCGTAGGCGATCGGGCGGACGTGCGGGTCCCGGCGCAACATGGAGAGATAGCTGTCTCGGACGCCACTCCTCCTACTTTCGCCTCGGTTATTTTGGAGAGAATGAATATCCCTGCTGTATTCCTTCCGCAACTGCGCCAGATTCGGTATCGATGCCGAGGGCTTCAGCACATGACGAGGCTTATACTGCGTTTGCGACGATGCACGTGGGCGACACGGCGCTACAGGCAGGGCGTCCAGCCCGTCTCCCTGTTCACTGCGCTGGCTTGAGACGGGAGATCCAAAGGGGGAAGGTTGCGCGCTCGACAGGTCTTCGGTGTATCCCCTAGAGGCACTGCTCTGGCGTGAGTGGGTGACCGGGGTGGATCTCGTGGGCGAGGGTAGCTCCTTGGGAAATCTAAAACCTGACTGGTTAAGAGGCGTGGTAAAGTGCGGAGACGCCGCCCTCTGCTGCCTCAAGCGTCCCGAGGATTTCTTCTTGAGTGGCAGATGCGGCAGGGGTGGCGCTACCGAAGGGGGGCGGTCGAAGCTTTCACTGGCGAACGAATCCCTCGAGCTGAATGACTCCCGCAGCGGAGTATTGCGGGCCTGCTCCAGCCCCATGGGCGGAGCCGATAGAATGTGCGCAGGGTGCATCTTCAAGCCGTTCAGCAGCGAATGGCTTGGGGAATGGGGGGCGCTCGTCGGTCCCCTGGTGGGGGTCGACGGGCCCGAGGAGTAGTCGGGCGCATCGTCGCGGTGCCCCCGCTGCTCTCTCAGCTTCATCATCAGACCGTGGTGGCCGTGAGTCTCAATGTGCAGCGGGCCCATAGCCATCTGCGTCATGCCCACGAAGCTGTCTGGCGGCTCGAAAAGGCTGACGCCCGTCTATTCCACGGGATCCTCGCAGCCTGGCGACCAGCACTGCTCTGCATTCCCCGCAATGTACCTAGGCTGGAAAACGGCAAGCTGGAATGCCTCGGGATCGGAATGTGGGCGATGGTATAGCGAGGGTCGGAGAAGAGTTGGGGCAAAGAATGGATGGCGGTCGTCGGACGGCAAAGGCGCTCAGCGTCGAGCAGGCGCGGAATAATGGGGGCCGAAAGGTAAGAGGCGACCAGCGTTGGGGCGAGGCGAGGCGAGAGAGAGGCGGTGGTGGAGTTAGCTGGATCTTCTTGAGTGAGCAGCCGTTTGAGCCAAGGCGGATCGTGCATGAAGGAGGAGCGGCCGCGCGCTAACGCAGCCGGAGATTCAGTGATTCACCAGCTGTGCGAAATGACGACCAGGACCTGCCCTTGACGGGGACGCGGGGCCACGGAGCGCGCGCGCTCTCGCCTGTGCTTCTCGTGCTGCCTCAAATGCCCGACGACGCCCTTCTAGAGATCGGTCCCGCGTCGGGAAGGGACTGATCTTCGCTGCGAATCACTCACGACTCTGACCCCCCGTGCCCGACTCCGCCCTACGAGCATCCCGGACGCCCGTTGAAACACTTTCGCCTGTCTCGCGAGGCCTAATGTCCCTCTGGAAGACATGCCATCCCTGGTCGCTCCGCCAGGCGGCCCGCGCAGGCCGCCGTGCCAACGTCAGCGGCTACCCGAATCTCCCCCATGTCGTCGGCGCCTCGTTGTACTCCTGCTACGGGGCAGCGCGGGATCATCGCGGCCGTTAGGCGCCGAGCCCGGTCGGTTCAAATGCCGTCACCTCCCTTTAAGCTGGCGGTACTCTCGGATATAGACATGCAAAATTCTGCTCGTGTTGTTTACCAACTGGGCAGGCGATGTGCTGCTCTACGCCCGTACGTGTTGCTCCCTCCGATCCAGAACACCCGCACACTTCTACGTGGTACCTACCACGTCCGCCCTGCTATACCCAGTCCCACCCAACGCCGTCTGCTCCTTTTCTCGTCCACGAAGATCCTAGCCGAATAAGCTACCCCGACTGAATGGTTAGCTCCCTGCACGCGCGGACAAAGGCTGGATCTCGATACGCTTGGACTGCGGCTCGCCTTCCGTTTGGCCCCAGGCGCCCAGGCCCGCGAGCTTTTTTGATTACTTGCCCTGCCCCAACTCATCTGCCCTCCAGATTCTCAGGGGAAACCGCAAACCTTCTATGGGAAAAGGAATCACCCGCCTGCCGCCTGCCGCAGGTCGTATGGGGATTAGGCTGGGCGGGCGGTGTATGACAGTTGCCAACCTTTCGGGCCTGTGCAAATGAGAGCAGCATGAAAGGAGATGAGCACAGAGCCAGAACGTTCCTTTGGGTTTCATGTGACCAATGATCCATGCGCGTTTCAGAAACATGCCACCTTTAACTGGTGCACCAGCTTCCGGAAGTTGGAAGTTGGAACAAGATCCTGTCCAAAGCGCGTCCTCCAAGCACGTGTCCAAGGCGCCCGATCGCGCTGGAGAAGCTCTCTAAGCACGTATTGTGACTCTGATGTACCAAGACCCATGCCCATCATGTATTCGTTTGTCCGAAGAACTCCGCCATATGCATGTTGCAAGCCGTGACCCGCAGAGCAACTAACATTTGTCTGTTCTGGTAATGTCCGCATTATTTCTTCGCCGATGCATATCTCTTGACCCAGTCCTTGGCCGTCTTCTCAAACTCCTTGTACTCTTGCTGGTACTGATTGGCAATTCCGCCCTCGACTGCATCGTCGGGGTTCGGCTCGATCAGCAGGTTGCGCACCATGAGCAGCACAGCGCCCAGCTTGTTCGGCGGCTTCCACTCATCGGGGCGCAGCATGCCCAAGCACATCAAGCCCTTGTCATCGTTACTGACATTCGGGTGATATATCTTGGTCTGGAAGTTTAGGACCGGAGGCTTGAAAGGGTAGTCCTTGGGGAGCGTCAAAAGGAGCTTGAACTGGCCGCCCTGTGGAAAAAGAAATATGTGTAAGTATATGTGGACGTTTGCGACGGGAGCGGATGTGAACCTACAGCATAGACGGACTGCTCGGGACCATCGATAATGACCTCCCAGGCATGGACGTTGGACTCGTCGACGAGCTGTACCCTCATGCCCGCAGGCGCATCGTTGGAGCATTCCGTCAGCTCCTGTCGCATGCATTAGCGGACGCTTGTGCGGGCTTGTTTTGCGGGAGGCTGCCATACCTTGACGATCCGCTTGTGGCTTCCTGCAGCCATGTTGGTGGATATGAAAGCGCTTTGGCAGAGAGAGTGAAACAGCAAAGTGGACGGTGCCTTTGAGATCCGCGAAAGAAGTAAGCCGGAAAACGTCCGGTTTGGGCGTCCGGTTGTCTACAAAAACGTCAAGAGAGGTTGACACAAGCTTCGTTGTAGCTTTGGAACCAGCGCGTTCGCAGTGGGGTTGTGGCAGGCATCACCAGCAAGTACCCCGCCATGATTGCGTCAAGCCCAGGCATCCGTTTCGATTTGTGCATCTGCCATCCTTTAACATTATTCCTTCACCTTTGCACGCACAAAAGCACATGGACATACTATTTCCGGCAACTACTTGGACGCGAGCTCTCCAGCAATCTGGCTCTGAGACATCATCAAAGTGCACACAGCTCGTCTCAGCTCACAGCGTCAGGGCGACGGGCGGTCAGCATCCGATATCGTCGGTTAACCGGTGTCAGATAAGGGGCTCATTGGTCGCAGACAGCACTCGTGTCATCTACTACTACGCATGGCATTTGGGCTCTGCCTGACAGTTGTTTGACGGTGGTACAGCCTCCGCTTATCCAGCGTAGATCGATGCAACGTTACCACTCAGCCCCAGCCCCTTAGGACGCGTGAGTCGTGCAGGGCTTGATCGGCTGCTCTTATTGCTGTTGATATATCTTCCTCGAGAGTCATTCTTCGGCCGGTTCCACAAAAGCGGGAGCGGCCTCGCGCCGTCGTGTCCGACGTGGTGGTTTGGTGTTGCTCAGGGGCATGAGATTGCAATATCTGCAAACACTTTGCGAGTGCAGCTGCAGTGGCTGTCAGCCTTGCATGCTCACGGTCCGCATAACAGGCGTGTCAAGCGGGGGGTGAAATTTAAACTTTGCGTGCACTCGCGGGGCCACTGGACCAGGCGGGCTTTTTCACCCACGACCGGGGGTGGCAGACGAGGCGACTGATGCACGATGGCGCAAACGCGAACAGGCGTAGGCTAGATGGAGGGTTTTCTAGAAAGCCGGCATGGTGCTTAGTGATCTGCAAAAGTCGGTGTCGTTATGTGATGCGAGAAAAATCATTGCCCAAGGAGGGGCAAGTCGCAAGACCCCACCCGTGGACTGTTTCCCGTGCGCCCAACGCCGTCAACAACCTCCAGCTCACCAAGTAGCTCGCCTCCTTACCAGACAACCTCTCCTTTACTCCAGACTACACAATCTCGCCCTCCCGCCCTCCACGCACCACCTACCACAGCTTCATTCTCGCTCGCAATCATGTCTTGGCAAGGTCTGTCTGCCCGCCTCCGCCCCTCCGTGATCATGCACTGACTCTCCCGCAGCATACGTTGACACTAGGTATCCCCCACCTGCGCCGCCGTCGCGAAACGCCGCAAGCTGACTGTCCATCGCAGCCTCGTCGGCACCGGCAACCTCGACAAGGCCGCCATCTTCAACGCCGACGGCAACAGCGTCTGGGCCTCGTCTGCCGGTTTCACCGTACGTCCATCGACCCTCCCGCTTCTCGTATCTTGTCCAAAGCCCCGCGCAACGTCTCTTGGCCATATCATGCAAATTTGCGATACGGGCCGAGTTGGAGGCCTTGGCAGACGCTTGCGGACGCGGCGGGAAGCATTGAGATCCAGAACCGGGCTGACATTGTTACCAGGTCGCCCCCAATGAGATGACCGAGGTCGTCAACGCCTACAAGGACAAGGGTGATGCCAACGGCATCAAGCAGGTCCAGAGCACTGGCCTTCACGTCGCTGGTGACCGCTACGTCGTCCTGAAGGCTGACGAGCGGAGTCTGTACGGCAAGAAGGTACGAGTGCTTTCTTTATCAGTGCGAAGTTCCAGAAAGCATTTTAGAGCTAACGACGCATCGCTCAGGGTCGTGAGGGCATTGTCATTGTCAAGACTCAGCAGGCCATTCTCGTTACCCACTACCCCGAGACCGTCCAGCCCGGTGTGGCCGCCAACACGGTTGAGCAGCTCGGCGACTACCTTGTCAGCGTCGGCTACTAAGCGGTGATGGATAAGGGTCGAAATGAAGCTTTCACGGAATGACACTGTTGATGTTGTAATCTTACTTGCATAGCAAGCTTTCGTAACAAGAGGGGCTTAGGGTCTGGCTCATAGAAGTGCGGAGCTAGGAGTGACATTGGTACAGTCCTCAAACACGAATCAAACACCCTTCGAGGTTGTGTCGGCTTCTATGCAGTGACGAAGGGACGTAGGACGGGACAAAGGAAGTGCTGAAAAGGAGAGCTTTTTGCGCAACCATGAGGTCCCGTCTGATGTGATTTTGCACAGGTCGATGTGTAATGAAGACAAAGTGTTTTAGGTTTGGCCCAGGATAATTCGCCCACACCCTCTAGATGTCTTGCCTACCCTAAATATAACTGAGAAAACATAATCCACTTTATAACGATATGAAGATATAAAATATCTAAAAGTACAAGTACATTTATACTCTGATAGAAAGCTCTAGGCCTTGTTAATATTCGTACCTTCGGTTATTGTTAAACACTATATAGTATCTGTTTACCTTTACATATTGGCTAACATATTTACCTAGCGCCTAGTAGCCGTAGCGGAATACTTAATTGTAGCCACCTAAGGAGTACTCTGTAGGTATAGTAGATTTTACTGAATATATACTGGTAGGGTGAGCTAACTATCCTGGGCCTTTACGTTTTGGCTCTCTCGCTATGATCTGGGATTCGTGTTATCCGACGACGCCGTACCGACATCGTGATTCCGCGGGCGCGTGCTCGTCAACCACATCTCAGGGTTCGACGAGCTTGACGTCTCTAATCCGTACTACTCTGCATGAACCTGACCTTGAACGGATCCAAGCATATTGCAACAACAATGGAAGCAAGTAAAAGGGTCGCACGTTTCCTTGAGCCTGGGGTCTGCGTAACTAGACAAGGCTGGGGCTGAGCTCTACCTCAACCAGCCTGCTGCAGCTGCGGCACCCGAAGCCTCGAGTACGCCCTGGCGGCTATGCTCAAGGTGGCTTATTGCCTGAATTGATCAGCCTGGCCATCGCATACCGGATGAATGACTATATATGAGCGATTGCCTCTTATTATTCCAGTCCACGGTTTACTTCGCTGTCAGCCACCTACCCGACTCTAAAGAGATAATCATTCAACATGGACCCTGCAAGCCTTGGTATTGGCGTTGTATCGCTGACATTCCAAGTCTTCTCAGGATGCGTAAAAGGCTCGTGAGGTCCATCTTCAGCTGCGTCCCTCTATTAACAGCTTTCAGGCTACCAACTACTGACCGAGGCCCGCGACATGCCAAAAGAACACCAATACCTTCGTATCAGGCTGAAGCAGGAGCAATACCGGTTGTTAGATTGGGCGCGTGTTGCCCACATCAGCGAAACAGATAATAATTTGGTACTTAGCAACGCCAGCAGAGGTGTGTTGTGCGATGTCTTGTACCAAAAGAACCAACTGCTGCTGGCCTTCGGCAAGTTTGATGACAAATACAAGCCTCTCAGGAGACCATTGCTCAGTGACGAGCCTGAGGAGGTGGAAGACTCCCCAGTTCTCAAAAAGGTTGAGACTGGATTCAACGGCCGTTTTCCTCAGACCGAAGACCTTTTGAAAAGAGCTCTTGAGTGGATTGACAAGTCTAGCAAGTACCCCAAGAGGCTGAAGTGGGCAAGTTGGGACAAGGCAAAATTCGAGCAGCTGCTGCTCAAACTGTCCTCTTTCAACGATTTCATGAAAGGGCTTCTTAATGACCAGCAACTCGATCAACTTATAGACCTTCAAACTCGAACGGAGTTCCAAATAATTCAGCTAAACAGTAAAGTCGATCAACTCCTGGAGTTCGTCCGAGCTGGTACTGCCTGGCAAGAGCTCACTCAGACTGGGCCCCAGACACGCACGATAATTTCAACAGATCCTCTAAAGGCCTTGCTTCAGGCTCGCGGGCTTATGGACTTGAGCTACGAGCCTTCAGAACAAAACTTAGCGGCGCTTGCTCGATTCAAAGCTCTAGGAACCGCTATAAACACAAACGGGCTCACCGACGATATTGCTCAGGATCTGGAGCTCGGGGAGACGGTCAAGGAAATCACCTCGGTCGAGTTGTCCCATTCAGATATCCGCATTATCGACCAAGATAATGAAGATCAAGGTGAATTTCAACGAACAGAGGCTCTGTATGTACGCCTTGGCAGCATGCGACGCCCTGGCATCAGACGCAAGCAGGTCTGGATCGAGTGGAAGACGTTTGAGCCCCAGGCATTCGATGGAGAACCAGACCCTATGATTCTCGAGCGCATCCGCGCCCTGACGGCTCTACTCAAGGAGAACAACCGCTCAGGCCAGTTCCGCGCACCGCAGTGCCTGGGATACTTCCGGGACATCGACCCCAACGGCGAAGACCGCTACCGCTTCGGTCTCGTTTTCGAAAAGCCCAACGACGTGCAGCAGAGCACGCGGCCAGTGAGCTTGCTCGATCTGCTACGCGACGAAAGTATCGAGATGCCCAGCCTGACACAGCGAATTGCACTTGCCTGCGTCGTCGCCGAGTGTCTAGAGCGCCTACACGCTGTGAACTGGCTCCACAAGGGCTTGCGAAGCCACAACATACTCTTCTTCCACAACGCCCACGACCCCGAGCTCGACCTGTCCGCGCCCTACATTAGCGGTTTCGACTACTCCCGCCCAGCACAGAACGAGGACATGACGGAGAAGCCGCCAGAGAACGCAGCCTACGACCTATACCGGCATCCACATGTACAGAGTTGCGGAAGCACACCGAGTTCCAGTTCTCGCAGCGGCTTCAAGAAGTCCTTTGATATCTACGCCCTTGGTGTCATCTTGCTCGAGATCGCGCACTGGAAGCCTATTGACGAGATCCTGGGCCTGGGCTACGTGCGCATGATCAAGCCTAGCGCGACGCTCGCGGTGCGTGGGCGCCTGCTCCGAGAGCCGCGTTTCCTGGGATACGTGCGGTCGCATCTGGGCGACGTGTTAGCGGGCGTTGTGCACGCGTGTCTTGAGGGACCGGGTGCGTTTGGGCTTCATGAGGATGTGGATGAGAAGGATGAGATTGTGGGGGAGCAGTTGGGGATCGCTTTCTATGCGGAGGTAGTTGGGAAGCTGAAGGGGATAAAGGTTTAGTGGATGGGAAAGGGTGAGGTCAGGGGGCTATGGAAAATGCCTCTTTCTTGTTCTTCTCTTATATACTTCTTTGGAGCCTGTGGTTGTTTCACGTTTTGTACCTTGGTATTTATAAGTCTATGCACAGTATCACGTACACAATGAAAGAGGGATAACTTACTGAAATGAGGACAATGTTTAATGCACAGAGGTTTCGTTTCTGTCACCGGTGGCCATTCCATCATTATGCAGCTAATTCAGATCCGGACATAAGAATTAGTATTACCAATCCACATGCCTCCCGCCACTGCATCTGCCAAAAGAATCTCATCATCATGCAGTAGATTTAAATGCTGGCCTTGATAAAGCACTGCAGGACCAACCTTGCATTTTATCATTGCATAATAATATCTTCGTCATCGTGCAGCAAAAGCACCTACAGATGCTGGGCGCGCATTGCAGGTCCGTACATGCGTTAATACTTACGTGTGACGTGCATGGGGAGGTATTCGTCCACAGCGTGTAGACAGATAATTATCTGCACGCAAGTATATTCATGTACACGTTGTGTCAAGCAGCCATGTGTACGTGAATAGATCTCTACGTTTGTGCATTATGCATGCGTATCAGGTCGGAAGGCGGCCGTGTCGCTCTGACAATTCAAATGCTCAACATGACTCCATCCATAAGCTCTTACTAAAATCAGGAAGTGTTACACGACTGTTCGAACGCCAATAATCTCAATGTACATTGCAGCTGCTATGTCCATATCCAACGCATAACACGTACCCGGAGAAGAACCGGTGACATACTCATGGACTCACATCCATCAATTACAACTTACTCTTGGCAGGCGCATCTGTGACCTTAACCACTGCCCTGCCATTGCTCAAACAAACCTTACCGCCCTCGATTCTGGTGACGAAGCGAATCTCCTCCCAGCCCTGGGGGTGGCCCTGGGCGGGGCCCATACGCCACATGTCAGTGACAAGCGTATTACCGGGCTTGACGGGACTGGCAAAGCGAGCCTGGAACTCCTTGAGATTGGCGGGGTCGCTGGCGCCGAAGTTCTTGAGCACGCCGTGGCACGTCGAGTTCCAGGAGAAGAGGCCGTGCATGATGGTGCCGCCAAAGCCCATCTGCTTGCCAGGCTCCGGCGTAGCGTGCAGCGGGTTGTAGTCGCCGTTCAGCCGGTACAGGTGTGCCGTCTCGGCATTTGTATGCTGCGTGAAGGTCGCGTCGGGCTTCTTGCCCTCGGGTGGGCTATAGTTGGGGTTCTTGGGGCCTGGGAGACGTCGTGTCAGTGGCTGCTGCACTCGGGACGGAATGATAGTTGATATCCCTTTCTCAATCGATCCCCCACCTTCCTTCTCTTTTCCAAACCCTTGCACTTAGTCTAGGAGAATGCAGACGCCAGGATCCACTTACCCTTAGGTCCACCCCATCCGCCCTGCCCAACATGAAATCCCGACCCAATAACCTTATTGTAAACCTCGCCTGAGTCCTTGTCTACAAGCACCGTCTCCGTCTCAACGACTGTGCCCGCTTTGCCTTTGTCATAAACGCCCAGGACCTTCTGGCGGATCTCGAAGCGGCGACCTTCGCTAGAGACGGGCAGCGGCTTGAAAACCTCGAGTTTGCGCTCGCCATCGACGGAGCGCTTCGTGTCGAACTTGGGCACGCCAGGGATCGGAGTTGCGCTGGTACGGACGTAAAAGTCGACGACCTCTTGGTCAGTGTGCTTGAAGGGAAGGATGAGCGGGTAAGTGGGGAAGGCGGCGAATTTGGGGTGGAGTTCCTGTGAAGAGGGTTAGTACTGGACTCAGTTTTAGAGGCTTGACTCAAGAGAATGCTGACGAAGAGGTAATGAAGCTCATCAACAGTGCAGCCAATGCTGTTGGCGAAGAGCAAGAGATCACGCTTCAGCCATGAGACTTCAAAGGGGGGGAACTCGAAACCAACACCGGGGCCGCTCATGATGGAGGATTGTGAAGGAGCACTTTGGGTATCAAGACGAGAAAGTATTAAAGATTGTCAGGCGCGGCGGGGAAGCTCTGGGGAAAGCTGCACGTCGAAGCTCGGCTTACTTAGCCGGTATCGCAAGCAGATGCCGAAGCCGAGGTTCATCCCACCCCCCTTGGCAATCGCCCCATTTCTTTAATCACATGATGATGTCGGATGCAGCACGACTCCCGCTGGCAACCGAGGCTCCAGTTTTCGTCCGTCGTACATAGTACCGCAGCAGGCCGGGTCGAATTGCAGAAAAGCCATTGATACTACCGAATCGCCGTTCGTGCTCGTGTGTGCGTGCAGGGCTTGTATGTACATGACCACTACCCTTTGCCGTAGTGCTGGATCGTGAATGAGACGCGGAATACCATGCGACCAGAAAACATGCTATGATGCTCCGTGCCATGCAATTAAAGCAGAATTAGACAACAAAGTGAGAGAGAAAGTGAACAACACCAGCGCGCAGACCCAGAAAACCCCAAGACGAACACTGCGGCCGCAGCGCAGATTGTGGTCGTGCCGTTCGAGTACATAGTGCCGGCCAAAGCGATCCGGCGATCCCGCATACTTACAGTGAGGACGTCCAGCGTGCTTGCATTTAGACCATCAAGTTGTGCCGGCGCTTCCCTCAACTAATGCCCTATGGTGAGCGACAGTTCCTTATCCAGCTGCGTCCATTACCACCAGTGAAATGAGTGCCCGGGAATTGCCAGAAAGCCAGATGCTGCCCGTCAAGCCGTAGTCTGGCTTCCGTTGCAGTGTCGAATCATCGAATCATCGAATACCGGAATTCCTTCTCGACAAACTTTTTGACCCATAATTGAAAGAGACCGAACTAATTGATAAACGCAAACGAGACCCATCCGTTTGCAAAGCGTAAACGCTCGTAATGTGTGAAATAGGAGCACGTGCGGGAAATTACTTCAGCCTCCAGTCCATGGCTTGACTTCGACACGACCAGCGGTCCTTGGAGATACGACAGGCATCAAACCTCGAAGCCGTCGTTGTGGTTGTTGAAAATGTTATCGTCGTGCTCGTTGTGGCTCGGAACAACACCGCTCATACGCTGGTCTTGCTGCTTGTTGTGCTCAGCGGCCAGCTTCTCCCAATCAGGGTCCTGGATATCTTCATCCATGCGATCGGCGAAATGCTCGTCCATGTGGCTGTCGTCAACAAACGTGAAACCCTTAAAGTTGGCTTGCATGGTAGGAGACAGCGGCGTCGACGCCGGGTTCAATCCAGCGGCAAGCGCGGCCGCACGAGCGTTGAGCGAGGTGGCTTGGTTCAGAGCATTGGTGAATTCGGGGTCGAAGTTGGAAGTATCCAACTCAGACTTCAACTTGGGCTTGAAGGGAGGAACGAGGTTCTTCTTGGACAAAGCGTCCCAGTCGATGTCGGCGAAGAAAGGATGGGCCTTGAGTTCTTCCGCATCGTGGGTCGCGCCCAGCCTGTGCTTCGGGTTGCGGTTGAGCAGACCCTTGACAAAGTTCCTGCCCTCGGTGCTAAGAGCATCACGCGGGAAGCGGACCTTTCCGAACGCAATGTTCTTGTACATCTGCTGCGTGTCCTCGGCGTAGAACGGACTCCAGCCGCAGCACATTTCGAAGACCAAAACACCAAGGGACCAGAAGTCAACCATCTTGGTGTAGCCATGCTCGTCCAGGAGAACCTCGGGCGCAAGGTATTCAGTCGTACCACAGAAAGTGTTGGTGGTGGCATTCTCGGTGAGGTTGGCCTTGGACAGACCGAAGTCGCAGAGCGCAATGTGACCGTTAGCGTCCAACAAGATGTTCTCCGGCTTAAGATCTCTGTACACGATGTTGTGCTCATGGAGATGCTGCAGAGCCAGGATGAGCTCGGCAATGTAGAACTTCGCACGCGCTTCGTTGAAGCGACCCTCCTTTTGCAGGTGCCAGAACAATTCACCACCAGACATGTAATCCGTAACAAGGTAAAGATCCGTCGGGGTCTGGAAAGAAAACTTCAGTCCGACAATGAATGCCGAGTCCGCCATTGCCGTCCGAACCAGGATGTTCCGCTCGCCGAGAGTGTGTGCGACCTCCTTTTTCTGAACGATGACCTTCTTCGATAACACCTTCATGGCGTAGATGCGTCCCGTGTCCTTCTTGCGGACCTGGAAGACCTGACCGAACGTGCCCTTGCCGATGAGCTTCAGAATCTGGAAGTCCTCGGGTCCGTAGTGCCTCTTGTCTGTCTTCTGGAAGCTGAGGCGAAGACGAACTTCACCGGTGACATGGTCCTGTTCGCCTTCCCGCGGCTGCAAATGGAACCAGGCATCGAAAGGTTTTTCGTACTCCACCAGTGAGGGACAGAACCGGACGTGGCCCAAGAAAGCTTCCTGGTTCGACTTATCATAAACGGAGACGTCAACTTCGGCGTGGTCACCGACAACATCACTAGGCCAAATGTTAGCACTACTCTCCCTCGATCAACAACTGGGGCGCAAGATTGACTCACAAGACAGCCTCGTGATCCCACTTAGGGTTGGTGACCTCTGATCTGTCCCTGCTGTCGAACCCGTGGTTGCTGCCCTGTCTGCTCTTCATAGGAATGGCCATCGGCCTTCCGGAATCGCTATCGGTGCGCATCATGGCCATCGCTCCCCGAGGCGGCTCCTCAGTCTTCTTCGGGCCCTCAGAAATGTCCTCGGCCCACTGGAACTGGCAAACGACATACGGATCGTAACTCGGTCGCAGGCCACGGCCCTCGGTGATGGTGATGGAGAGCTTGCCCTTGGGCGTTGGCGCAGCAGTGCTGGTGCCTCCGTTCGAGCTGCTGCTCCGAGTGGACTGGGAAGGGGCGGCAGCGGGAGCAGCATTCGGCTTTCCTTCTTGCGACTGGGTCCTGGGGGTTTGCGGGGGTGTATTCTGATCAGGCTCCACGTCTTCAGTTAGCGAACTTCCTTGGACATTCGGTGCTGATGTTGAAGCAGGCCGCGAAGCAGAAGGGGAGGTGACGAGGGTGCTGGTGGCGGTGGTCGGCTGGCTGGCTGTGACGGGTTGCGGATTTGAGGGATTCGACAGGTGTGCAGCAGGGGTGTTGGATGTCGTCATGATGCTTGACAGAGGACTGGACATCGCGAACGTGTGCTTGCGTTGTGAGGGAGAACCATCGCCCGCTGAGCGCGGGCGTGGAGGCGTGCTCGGGCCGCTGCTGAGTGCAATGCCATCATCTTTGCCAACCTTGTGAACGGACGAGGCTGAGGAGGTTGGAGGGGTGGGGTAGAAGGAGCTGTCGCCATGAGACGTCGGGGCCGAAGCGGGAGCGTCGAAGCGCTCGTGAGGGAGGAGCGGGGGGCAGTCATCCTCGTCCTCACTCAGCTGGCCGCAGGGCGAGGCTGGTGCAGTGGGCAATGCATCGGCTCCGACCCTTGGCTCCGACGCCGGCTCATCCTGTGCATGCCTCTCCGGGTGTGCTTGAGTGTCTGAGGGTGGTGCAGGGGCTTCGGACAGCGACGGACGGGGACGGAACACCGAGGGGATAGAGGAACGAACCTGGCCAAAATAGCTGAGGATGCCTGGCTGTCGCTTGTCGGTGGGGTCCGGGCGTGGTGTTGCGCCGCCGGGGGGCGTGGAGCTGTTGGAGCCGATGTGATCATGATCGTCGTCCCCGGCTTTGCTGCGGAGGAGGTAGTTAGCAGGCGCCATGACAGAAATTCAAGCCATGCACAGCGGAACGGGCAGCGGGACGCGATGCGATGAAAAGGCGACCGAGAGTTGGCGATAAGGACGCGACGGCAGCGGGCGATGTATTTCAAGAAAACCGTGTGTAACAGGATTGGCGGGTCGAGCGAGTGGGAAAATCGAACGACCCTCGCCCGGCCCGATCGGTGTTGGCGACATGGGCTCCAGCCCAAGCGAGCCATAGCCATGCAAGATTGTTCGCAAAGGCGATCCTGCACACGGCCAGGCACAGTGTCTCGGGGTGGCGGCGGCGACGACAAAAAAAACAAAAAAATAAAAAAAAAATAAAAAAACAAGAGGGGGGCACTCACCTCTGCAACATAGCCTGGCGCAACAGGTCCGTGGCCGTGTGTGAGCTGCCAGTCGGCGGGCCTTCGTGCGGCGCCTGCTGGTGGTGCTGCTGCGTCGACGCCATGGTGGTGAGTCTGTGAAGCGGCGAGGTAGCGTCTTCGGTCGACAGCGTCGGGACGGCGCTGAGAGACTTTGTGCTGGCGAGCGGCGACGGACGCGACGGAGGCTGGGCGCTTAGTCGTCGGGATAGCGGGCGTGGTAGGCGAAGTGGTAGGTTTTCTGGGCTTGTTGCTGGTGCCGCTGAGGCCGGTTGGACATTGGTGAGGCGGTCGTCCTGGGCAGAAGCAGCAGTGCGGGTCGAGGAATCTTTGGGTACATATGGGAGCGTCATCGTTCGCTTGGGCCAGGAGCACGGCGGGACTACTCCAGTAAGGTCCGAATTCGACCGGTGTGTGGGCGCCTATTGGATGCGCGAGGCTCGAGGGTTTGAGGGTGCCGTCCGCAGTGGGGCCTGTTTGTTGGCGTTGAAGCGTTTCGGTGATGACTTGCGAGCACGCCCTCTCCACCGAAGATATCGCTATGGCAGAGGGAAGGCCTGAACGACGCTCCCTGCATAATCGGTGGAGCGGCGCTGCGAGCCACCCCGTACACCGCCGCTCTCTACCCTCTCTGCCTGCACGCTTCTGGCTTACGGTCCGCTTTGGGAGGCGCCTGCCAGGGCTGATCGCCTTAAGGCTGTCAGGCCACGGCCGGTCTCACTCAGCCGTCGCAGAGGGAAATGAAGGGCCGAAGCACACGCGCCAGCTGCTTTCGGGTGGGCAAAGCTGGAACGCTAGGTGCGGCTCCTATGACGACAACCGGCTCACACCTATCCACTTCCACGTGAATAATCACCCGCGATCTTCTTGTGACGACGGGCTTTGGGGCTGGCTGGCTGGCTGCACGGCGCTGCCCGACAAGACATGCCGCCGCCAGCCGCCCTTGTCGCGCGAGGCATTTAGCTGCCTACGGATTACCCAACTGTCTCAATTCCTTCCGCCGCTCCTGCGTCGATCGGCCACGATTAATCCGGCCGCTCCACTATCCCAATCCGGCTAGCCGCGCTTGGCGGCTTTCAATCCGCCCTCACCGCGCGCCAGCAACGGAACGAACACCAACCCGAACGCCTCACGCCCAACCGCGCCGCACCGCTGTCCGTGATGGCCCCTCGCCGATCGCGTGTCGCAGCGCAAGCTGCCTCGGATGCAATTCGTATGTTGCGCTCCATCTGCGCGCCCAATCCACCCCCACCTAACCCGCCCCAGGTACCCCGACGCCAGCCGTCGCGCCATCCGACGACGACCTGCCAGACGCGCCTGATGAGGACGTCGACGGTACCCCGCAGGAGCCCGCCGACGACGAAGAGGAGGAAGATGTCGCGACCCCCGCCCTCGACGCCGACGATGCCGACGAGCGCGCTTCAGAACACTCTTCGCCCGTCATCGAGCAAATACCGCGAAAACGCCGCTTGGGACGCCCCCCAAAGAATCGCCCCCCAGACTGGGACAATGCCGATGCCACCAGCGGCAACGCGTCTGAAAAAGGAACGCCCGCGAAGCGTCGGCGTGGCCGTCCATCAACTGGCGGCTTTAGAGGGCGACCGAGAGGAGGCCCATCCCACGTCACACGCGTACCCATCGACAAGGAAGGAAACATGATGGAGGTTGTTGATGACGAGGTCGCGCTGCCAGAGGACCCAGAAGGCGAAACAAAGGTGGACAAGTTGGGTAATCTCCAGGGCGGTCGTGACTACAGAGTTCGCGTCTTCACCATCACCGGAAGAGGCGACAGGCTCTACATGCTGTCTACGGAACCAGCCAGGTGCACGGGCTTTCGCGACAGTTACCTCTTCTTCACCAAGCATATGCAGCTCTACAAAATTATTGTGGACGATTCAGAGAAGCGGGACTTGATTGCTCGCGAAATTATCCCACATTCTTACAAGGGTCGCGCTATTGGCGTCGTCACAGCTAGATCTGTGTTCAGGGAATTCGGAGCGCGCATCATCATTGGTGGCAGGAAGATCACCGACGATTACTACGTCGCCGCTGCACGCGAAAGAGGCGATGTAGAAGGGGAGCTGGCGGATCCAAACGACAGGCTACCTCCTCCGGGTGAACCATACAACAAGAACCAGTATGTCGCATGGCATGGAGCTAGTGCCGTCTATCATACAGGCGGACCGAGTGTACCAATGCCGAACGGCAAGGTTGTTCCGGGCAAACGGAAAATCAACATTACGTCAGCAAATTGGCAGTTCGAACATGCCCGTGCTGCAAGGTATAGTCTTCTTTTAATCTCCGCTCGTTGTCACCTAACTGACTTGTTGCAGTCGGTTCAACTCAAATCTTGTTGCAGTCCGTCGTTTGAACGTAGACGGCATCTACGATCCTCACACAAATCAGATGCATTATCCCAAGATCATGCAGCCTACGCATGCTCGGTGGGAGCAATTACCAGTAGCACCTGACGCTTCTGATAATGAAGCTGTCTTGGAGGAGCCACAACTCACCAATGGAGCATCTAATCTCCCCAATGGCGTAGATGAGGCTGACGGAACCATAAATGCGCCCCTTCAGGAGTCTGGCGGCAGCAGCTTATACCCAGTGCCCTCCATCGTGGCCCGTAATTTCCTCATCACCGACACCTACTTTGAGTCGCCCCCTCTCTCTGGACTTGGCGTACCTGGCCCTGATGGTGATTTCCACGATACTGGTTTGAATGGACTGGCGAACCTGCCCGAAGACATTTTGGCAGAGCTGCCAACAGAATGCCGAAAGGCTCTGGAAGATGCCAAGGATGAGGAAAGAAAGTGGAAAAGTCGTTGGCAAACAGAGAGTGTCGATGGCTGTAGGAAGGACCTCCATATAGGCTTCACAGGTGTCCCGGTATGACCAGGCATCGTCCACTTTTTTTTAGATTTCATTGATACTACTTCACAGGGAACTGGATACGACAAAACCGGAGGATCATGAGCTACAGCCTCGATGAGGATCGCGGAACATCAAAATTCAGTAAGGGTGTACGATACATTAGCCTGAAAAATGGCCTGATGAAGATTCGGAGGGATACGACCTAGAAGAAAAGGAATTGCAAGTGCTCAGATTCCATAACCACGATAGCGAAATATCATTTCTGAGCCCACAATTGTCGGCGCGCAATTTCCTTGCAAATGTAACTTTTTTCTGCAGGCTTTCCATGAGTGAGCAGTCCACCTGGAGCAGCAGAATGCATGGCAGCGTGAGGGACATGCTTGGCGCTTCTTGGTACGATGCTTTCGGTCAACAAAGTGGCCACGATGCCACAAAACCTCGAACAAAGGATCATTTCATTCAAAGCTAACTAGAATATACTCTCACCGTATGATGCAGAGTTTGTCTCAACTTCCGTCTCATAAGTTGTCTTTTCTGTAGACAGACACGACCCAACGGTATCCTAAGCCAGACACGCCTACACGTTTCAGCCATGTCCAACGGTACGGGTCCCGGCGCAGTCTGTCTTCCGCCGTTCCTCCCAGCATCTGATTTTCCAAAAAAGGGAGGCTGTATGCAAACCCACTAGACGAGCACTCGCCACAGACGTTGATTGCAATGCAGATACAAGCGGCCGCTTCTGCGGGACGGACGGATCGCCGAGTGGACAAATATGCTGTTTGCCTTGTCCTCTAGAAGACTGGGTCTATTCTGATAGTAAGGCCTTCGCTCAAATCTAGCATTCCTTGTCTGACAGTAAGCGCAGGATATGTCAAGGACGTGAAGGTCTCGAGCTGGATCAGCGTTGCATCGTTTGCTCTCTGTTCCTTTCTCTTGATATCTTTCGTCGCACTACCTTCAGAGACGAACATCCGGCACTTTCTCAACATTGGCCTCACGGTTGCTATTACCTTTTACACCGTTCGTATCCTTTGTTTCTAAATGTTGAGGGACTGTATTACTAATGGTCAGAATAGCTTGCCTTTATGATTCCTCTGGGGACCAAGCCTGATCTTTGCTATGACAAGGTGACACCAAACGGGCAAGACTCTGACATGTCTTGCGCTTGGACTGGCGCGCTCCTATTGCTTGGGGGGATCGGCTCTGCGTACTGGAGTGTGTTACTCACTTATCCATTTACATGAGCCATCACTGATGATTTATCTCCAGTTTTGCTGCGCTCCCTGTGGCTCAACATCCGAATCTGCTGGGACAGAAAACCAGGACGCAAGTTCGCCATATTTTCTGTCGTCAGTGGGATCGCAATTCCGACAGCGCTCACAGCAGCCACTATAGCTGTCTCAGGTCTCTCGTACCGCATCGGGACAGTCTGCATCCCTAACCATGAAAACTCCATCGCCGTGTTCTGGGCCTGGACAGTGGCATTTGCCGGCCTGGCGCTCATCATCCAGGCCGTGACTTCGCTCTACTGCGTTTGGATCTACATCCGGGTAGTAGTCAAAGGGTGGAACAAGACCACCACCGGAACGGGAGGCTCAGGGCCCTTTAGCCACGAGCGTCCAAAGCCACAGCATACCTGGCACAAGGTCCGACGGGTGCTGCTGTTGCAATGGCGTGGCATTGCTCTTGCGATCGTTGTCACGACCCAAGTGCTCTTTTACATCATAGTCTTCTGGGCTCAAGACCTCAAGTTCGGCAAAATCACCGCGAACAAAAGCACTTTGGGCGAGGCAAAGACCTGGACTGCGTGCTTGGCAATTTACAAAGGGGACAAGAAGAAATGCCTCCAGTATGCACACGATCTTACCATCTCGCAGAACCTAGCTTTGGCTTCTCTCATGCTTGGAGCAGTGAGTCTTCTCTCCCCCCATCTGTCGTAATACCTCACGCTGACTCTGGAATCCAACATTTAGCTATGCGGCATAGAGAATTTCTTCCTTCTCGTGCGCCGTAGCATGTTAGTCGGCTGGTGGAAAATCCTTACCTTCCCTTGGCGCGCCCTGCACGGCCGCCGCGGCTCTGACACTCAACTGACGTCGCTCGCGCCCCCGCTGCCTCCAAACCCTGACGATAACGAAAAGAATGGCAACGACAGTGAGCAGCCGGCCAAGCCGGGCTCGCCCTTCAGCATGGCCATGCGCGACGCCAGCCGCTCCACCATCCCAATCAACAACCCCTACAAGCTCTCCCTGCCCTCGGAGCGCGCCTCGACGATCGACGCAGCGGGCATTGCGCGGCACCGCCGCGACTCACCGCGGGCCGCAGCAGCTGACGCCAACGACAGCGCCGTGACGCTGACCGGCACGCCCCCGCCACCGCCGCCGGGAGCAGCCGCCTACTCGTACGAGCCCGAGCCACCAGCAACAACCTACATCGCGTACTCGCGGCCCGAGACGCCGCCGCCGCCACCGCTTCCCCTGCAACCGCGGCGACACGCCTCGCCCACCTTCTCGCGCCAGGCCGGCGCCAGCGCCAGTTACGAGCTGCCACCCAGCCTCCAGATCCGGCGGCGCCGCAGCTCCGGCAGCGCGCCGGGTGCTTCCTCGTCGCTCGCGTCGGCTGCTGTGGGCGTGACGCGCTCGACCTCGATGCCCGGCGTTGCGAATGCGCATCGCTTGCCGAGTTGGGCGCGGTCGGAGATCAGGATGGGGTCGGCGACGGACCGCGGTGCCATGAGGGGCGGGCTGGCGCTGAACCCGGTGGGGGCGGGTGGCAGTGCTAGTCAGCATCAGAGCGAGAGCGCGTGGTCGAGTGAGGGGGAAGAGAGCGGTGGTGGTGTTAAGAAGGGGGAGGGAGAGGAGAGGAGAGGTAGCAACGTCGTGGGCATGCAGGAGTTCCTGAGGGAAAGCCACGACGTGCTACCGGCCCCGAGCAGAAAGGGAGAGCAGTAGACGGCCGCTGCTTCAGCGAGCTGGGGGGGAGGAGTAGGAGGAAGGGCGTGTGTGTGTGTGTGTGTGTGTGTGTCTTTGGTCGTTGGCGGCGGTGGTCGGCACGGCGGGTCGTCGCCGAGGTCAGTGGTGTGTTAGGTCGTACCCAGAGACACGGAGTCGGACTGCGCGATCTGCCGCTCGACGGCCGCGCGTGGAGAGTGCCGAATCTGGCAGTGCATCAATCAGCCTGGCGCGTCACAGCCTCGTCGTCTCCCCCCTGCAACCGCGCAGCAGCAGCAGCAACAGCAGCGCAACCACCACCGCCGCCGCCGCCGCCGCCGCCGCCGCGGCGCACGACACAACGCCAAGAACAGTCATCTTCCAACTCCGAGGCTCCCGGATCCTTGGGAAACATGGCTTATCCCGGGGAAGGACGGTTCCAAAGCTGCATGAAAGCGCGCGCGCCCGCGCCTTGCCGCCTGATCCCACGAAACCGGCCGTGTTTCCGCTATCAAATCCATGCGATTATCGAGTGCGATCACCCACCACACACCAGGTCTCGCTTTTATTAGAAACTCTGTACGAATGTTGAACGAACGAACACGAGGCCCCCGCCGCCAGCCCCCCCGTTCCCGGGCAACCGTTCTGCGTGCTTAGGGCGGGCATGACGAACGTCCCCCCCGTTGACGGCGTGGCTGAGTGTATATCCGCTGCGTCCAAAAAAATCCGGTTATGGCCCTGCCGTGTTTTGTCTTTGCATGAAACCACTTCATCTATCCCGACGGATGGGGCCATGCTGGCCCTCGCAACTCGCCAAAATATATTGACCCGGAGATGAGGAGAGCAGAAACACGGCGCACCGATGAGACATCTGGAAACAACCAGTCACGTGCAGGCACTGTCTTGGAGTGGCACAAGCAATATGCGGATGCTTGGCTGGCATGACGCCAGCCAGCAACAAATTCAACTTTGATTGTCCTTCTGACTTTCGTTTTCGGTCTGGTATATGTGTAGGGTTTTTTTTGTTCTTTTCTCTGTCTGAATGAACTGGCAATAAACCTGCCACTGTGTAGAATGCAAACTGCAACGCTCAAAAACTCGAACCATTGCAATGTAGGTGAAGAAGAAAGAAGAGCCCGTAAGGAACCGAAAAAGGCCAACGGGTGTGGTGCAACTTGTAATCTGTGCGGGACAGCAAAAATCCTCCTGCCTCCGACGACCATCAGATGCCGTTAATTACAAAGAAGCCAAAGCCACACCAGGCTATGCAGGAAGAAAGAAAGGCGAGAGCACCGTTGGAACCGACGTCTGGAGAAGAAAGCCGAACTGGTCGTAAAAGCGACAAGGTTCGTGATTAAGCGTGTGCGTGTAAATGGCGTCGCAGGCTGCGGCGCAGCAGGAAGAAAGCCGCGCAGATGGGGAGTACCGCTGAGGTTGGGCGAGTGGTTGCGATCCACTAGAGCGACCCAGCATAGGTAGCCAAGGCGGTGCCGACGACCGAGGTGCGAAGGAAAGTTTGCAGCGACCTCGGCCTATGCCGTGATATGCTTGATGCAACCTTGTGCATGCACGGCGGTGGCTGCAAGACGCGGCAGAATCAGAATTTTAAAAGCGCAAAAAATGCAGCCGAGAGAAAGCCCGGCAAGTAGGAAAACCGACCAACACCCCTCCAATAAGGTATCCCCACCGGCCAAACCCGTAGTCTAGTCGAAAAAACGACAATGAGATGCTGCTCGAATCAAATGCAGCCAAGAAGGGGTATGACGTGCTTCTTGTGATGATGAGAAGCAATCTGGGATCATAAGGAGATCTAACAAGAAAAACGCAGTCCAAAGCGGATGCAGCGCAGAAATTTCGTCAAAAAATGAGAACAAGCCAAGGAAAAAGAGGAAAAAGAAAAGACAACGCGTGTGCTAGAATAGCAACAAGTAAGAAGAGCGGATCACGTCCGCAGAAGCGTGCCGTCGTGAGCAAAAAAGCATTGAAAACAAACGAGAAGGGTAAGTGAAGAAGAGCCGGTATAAACAGGAAAATTCAACGCGTAAAGGGATTCGAAACGTAAAGGCTTTTGAGACAACCCTCCCGGAAGAACTTTTTTGATGCGAAGCTTGCGAACGAAAGAGCAACAGGTGTAAGCAAGCAGTCTGTCCGATTGAAGATGAACGAATAAAACAAAGTCGCCTCGAGACCGTGTCACAGTGCCACGAGAAAGGGTATCAGGCGTAGGAAAATCGTGGCAACACAGAATGGCGCTTAACCAGCGACAGGCTGAGGACCGAAGCCCGGAGCCATGAAGTAGGACGGGTGCTGGCGCGCACAGTACATGCAGTTGCAACCCATACCGTGACCGCTCCACATGTGCTGGTTGTAGTGATGGAGGTAAGCCGTAGGGGGGAACAACTGCGGCTCCTGTGGACTAGGCAGTTGATGGAAAGATGGGAAGCCGAACATGGTGCGACGCGAGTATCCCTCAGGCGGCGCCCAAGTGCCAGGTCCACCGTAATACTCTGGCGTAGTCGGTCCAGTGTGCGAAGCAGAGACCGGAGAACGCTCGTTCGCGGAACGAGAGACGAGCCAAGGATCGTACGGCGCGTATCCTGAGGGAGCACCGAAAGTCTCGCAGGAGGGCAGAGGCTTGCAGTAGGCGGACGAGATGGGCGACGGAAGCTGACCAAGACGAGAAAGATTGCCTTGGAGCGTGTCGAGAGGAGCCAGCTTCATGGTCTTTGCGGCGCGAGCTGGCGCGCTCTGGGCGCGGCTCTCAAATTTCTTCCAGTGCTCCTGCCAAGAGTTGAACCCGCGCGGCTCAGAAGGATCGCGGTGCAAGTTGAACTCGAAAGCAAGCAGCCAGTCCCTTTCGATCTGGTTCAGCTCCGTGACGCTGATACCACTGACCTCCGACCAGGACCGGTTGATGAACGTGTTGTCGTCCAAAAACTTGCTTCCCAGCATCAGCGCCATGGTCAGCATGCGGTAGATCTGAGAGTCCTGGCTCTTGGACGGGGCGCCGGTAGAGGACATGTCCATGCGCACAGACAGGTAGTTCATGCTAAGCATGATTGTCGCAGAAGGCAGACGAGTCGCGCAGAGGACCTGGTGGACCCACTTCCTGAAAGACGGAGGCTGAGGGCGTCCTGAGACAATACTTCGGAAAAGGTCAATATCTGACATGCAGATGGGGGATGTCAACAGAGCATACATTCCCTGTGTCATTTCAGACACGAAATCCGTCATGGTCTCCATATCGTAGTCGAGCTTGGCCGAAACACCGCCGACAGGCTTCTCTTCCTTTTGCTCGGAATCGACACGCTGCTGTTCTTGCTGCATCTGGCGATGCATATCGGCGTCAGGGATAGGTAAAGGAAGAATCGGCGCCGCCAGGGAGTCGTAGTACTGAGGAAGCCCTGACGGGTTGTGGGCAGGGTAACCGGCCTGCTGGTGGTACATCATTGACGAAGGAGCCAGGCCGGCGTTGTGGCCGTAGCGCTCTGCGAAATCGTAACGACCTTCTTCGGTGTTTCCGATGCCGTGCTGAGCAGCATATGGGTTCTGCTGCTGGTAGTGCATACCTCCACAGCCGTTGCTGTTGTAGCTCGGAATGAATTCCGGCGGCGAGAGAGGCAGCTGACGCGGCATGGGCGGGCGGTAGAAGGAAGGCATATTGGACTTCTCAGTCGCTGAGAAATAAAAGAAACGGTGCGAAGGCGTCCTTGAAAAGGTATCAGCTTGACCCGCAACCTGTCGCGACGAGTAAAACCCACCGTCTCTTTTATTTCCGACCGTGATGAACTCCGAGCTAATGCTCTTGAAGCGAACCTGACCAAGTACTCTAGTAGCTGTAGTACATGCGCGTTTTGTTCAGGCTGTTGTTGTTGGGTTGACTCAAAAAAATTTGGTCTTGGGGCAAACGAAACGCTTTGGTTTATTTTATGTTGGATACCAAAGCCTTGGGCAAAAGTGCGATCGAGCGGATAGCGGTACCGTCTGATGGGAACCCTTGGTTGCGTTCTTGAGAAGGATGTCGGGCTATGAGCGAGACGGTGAAATTTGTTTGGTTCGACCCTTTTCGGTAGTTGGATGGAAGGGTGCGATATCCGTCGACCGGGACGAATCTAAGTGAATAGGTCGTCGCGGAGATGGTTCAGGAGGGCGGAGTCGCAGACGGGTGATGGGGTCTGGCGACAGGCAGCAGCTGAAGGCGAAATTATAATGTCGTCGGAAGGACAAAAAGGAAGAAAATAGGCGACGGGATGCGAAGCGAAGAGTAGGCCGTGGTGCGATGGACCACGAGCGGTGCGAAGGAAGCGGATGGTGACGTCGACGCAGCCACTCTCAGCGAAGGCGAAGGCGGCAGAACTGGTAGGGCACGATGAACCTTGAAGGGAACAACGTTGGTGATGAATCGCTGCTTCTGCTGCTGCTGCTGCTGCTGATGCTGGCTGAAGGAAGTAGAAGAAGAGTCAGGATGGCAACCTTGGGAAGCGACGACGGTTGCGCGGTGGACCGGGGGTAGCGTGAGGTCAGCAGCCTGGCTTGGGATCTTTTTTCAACAGGCGCTCCAGGCCGGCGTGCGTGTCAGGGACGGGACGGCACACAGGGGGTCACGGGCCACCCGACGCGTCGAGGAAGGGATGGAGAAGGGTTGCGCTTTGCCCGAGGCGCGAGGGGAGATGGAAGGGCAAAAAGGCGAGATGAGGAGGGTTGGGGGTGTCGGAGGGAGAGAAGAGGTAGACAGGGAAAGAGGGCGACGAGGAGATGAGCGGACCACCCTGCCACTTGCAACCGCCGCGCGCTGGACCCTCGAGTCGTAGAACAAAAGTCCGAGAGGTCCCGGGGGAAGGGGGCCAGCCTCCGCCCTCCAGTCATCTGCACCCCTTCCGTTGCTCGAGGAGCGGCCGAGCCACGTCGACGACTCAGCGACTCAGCGACTCAGCGACTCAGCGATTCACCTCGTGCCTGCCTTGCATTGTTGTTTGCCAGTGTGTGCCCATTGTTCAGCCGCCGCCCCTGGCCGCGTATTCTTAGCAACGTCCAACAATAATCGGCCCTTCGTGTAGATGAAGTGGCCGGTATCAAGGGACCTCGTTCATTCGCCGCGCCCGAAGGAGTCAGCGCGCTTCTCTCATCAAAGCCAAAACCCTTGGGTGACTTCACAGCCGCCTGCTCCCAGCCCTCGTCTCCAGTTCCTCTCGTCATACCGCCCGTTGCGGCCTAGTCACACCCCTCGTGTCCCTCGCGCCCAGCCTCTGTTTTCGCCGTCGGTGGTGGCCAATCTTGCAACCCCGCAAGACGCAGCTCTTCGTCACCTGCCGCCCGCTTCCGTTCGCAGCCGCCGCCACCCCGTAGAGCAGGTAGACATTTTTTTGATCTTCCCGGCGTGACAACGTGCAAGCACAAATAGAAAAAGCCACGCCGCATCAGAGCAGCGAATCTAGACCCCAGGGTCCGCTGAAAAATCAAAAACATGGATCCGGCTAGAGGACGAGCAGGATGAGATGGCTTTCTGCCGAAAAAGCCCACCCCTCCCTTTCAGCCGGGGCTCACGAGGTGTACGCCAGCTGCCCGACGACATGTTTCTGCTGACTTGCGGCATTGGGCCCTCTCTCACCCGACGGGCCTCGAAGAGGACGGATCACTTTCGCACGGATCATGGCAGAGGCCAGCCGCTAAACTCCTTCGCTCTTGATTGTGGTTACACTGGCATCTGGAGGAAGGAATCTCTCCAGCCCTCTCCTGCGTGCATGCGGGAGATCCCACGCCGGCATCGGTCTCCGCCCGTACCAACGGAAATGCCACCCCGCCGGCTATTGATATTATGATTATTTGAAGCCTTCGGAATGGACTTTGCACTTCGCCATGCTGCCCATTCCTTGCCTTCTGATTTGCGCCGCCACGGAGAAACTGGTCACGTTTCTTGGGAATGTGGCCAACACTTGCCGACCATGCGACGGTGATCACAACCAACTTCTTCCAGACCGACCGGTGCGGTCCCCACCACAGCTGATCTCTGGTTATGAAAATCTCGCCCACATGTGAAGAGAAGAATTCGTCCTGAGCATAACCGTATCCACGTCGGAACGCCTAATCGAGACATCCGCTGGCGTAGCCAGCGCGCAGACCATCGCCCGCGGCCAGAAAGTGTACATCCCGCCCACTGGAGCTGGTGGTCAGCGCACACTCTGTTGAGACCTCAGGCTATGATCAACTCACCGTCTTTCGCTGTTGTTGTCATGGCCCATAACGGAGGAGGGTCACGAGAAAATATTGCAACTCCGTTGATCAACAACCTATGAAGTCATATATATACAAATCCTCTCCGTTGCGTTGTGGCGTTCTCAGACGGCACACACACAACTGCATGCTCTAGGGTCCTCTAGGCAGGCGGATCATGCTCGCTCGACCGTGGCTGACCGCCTTCACCAACCAGGTTAATTTGAAACATGGTGCTTGATCGGCTTCGTTATCACAAGCGCCAGCGAACAGCCGAACGCTGGCCTACGGTTCCCGCCCAACCACGACAGATAGATAATCGAGGTGGTCAGTGAGTTCCTGAGATCAAAAGACCCTGAATGGCCACGCACCATAGCGTGCACGGCTGGCTGCGCCGCAAGCACGGTTCGCCTTCATGCTGACGAGGCATCAATGCTGACTGCCCCGGTCACCAACACCTACTCCGGATTACGGCGGAGCGAACTGGGTAGCATTTTATCGAGAAATTCACAATTATTCAGCACGTGGTGAGATCGATCGACTTGATTCGCGATACTCCAACAACGCCATAGAAAGGATGAGCGGCTATGCGGCTCCCATGGTATTCAGCCTACGATACAGACGCCCTGCCATGTCATGATCCCATCCCGTAAAGAAACTTTTTCCACTTTCCCAGGTCGCAGCGACGAACAGCTTAGTTCATCTGGCGGATGAGGGCGTTGATGTGGTCCTCACGGTTGCCAAGGTCACCACCCTCGATGAAGTGCTTGAACTTCCTGGGGCGGAAGCCACCAGTAGGGTTGGACAGCTTGAAGGGCCAGAGGAAGTTGGAGGCCTGCTTGAAGTTGGGGCCAACGGTGTAGATCTCGTGGATCAGGTCCTCCATGCAGACGATGCCGTGCTTGCCGAGGTGCTCCTCGATGAGAGCGTTGTCGGTAAGGGGAATGCGCTGCTTGTTGATCTTGCCGTAGCCGCGCTTGTAGACGAGCTCACGGACGGACTTAAGGTTGGGGTAACCGTAAGCAATGTAGGGCTCGACAATCTTAAGCATCTCCAGAGTAGCCTTGGTCAGGCGAACGAAGCAGCCGTTGTTGATCTGGAGCAGACGGAGGAGCTGCAGGGTCTTGCGCTTCTTGGGGTCAATCTTGTTGATACCCTTGATGCGGACAACGAAGACGAGCTTGGGCTCCTCAGGAACGTAGAAAGAACCCTCCTGCTTGGCAACGCGGGAAAGGCGAACCTTCTCGCGCTCCTGGTCGCGGTACTCCTTGACGTAGGACTCAGCGCGCTTGAAGATAACCTCACGCTTCTGCTTGTTGGCCTAGGGTGCAAATCAGCTTACTGTACGTGACGACATTCAGATGCACAATTGTCCAGAGAAGGAGCGTGTTCAGTCCCGAAAGATGGTTAACGTAGAGACAGCATTGACCCGAAGGTCTAGTCATCTCGGTTGGTTGTTGTCATCACCAAACTCCTTCTCCAGAACAATGGCACAGTAGTTGTATTTACTTACATCACGCTTCTTCTGGAGCTCGGCAGCACGAGCCTCCTGGTCCTTCTGCTGCGTCTTGCGCTTCTTGAGAAGGGTCTCAGGGACCATGACCTGGTCCACAGTGGGGACGGTCCTGTATTACCCGAGAGAATGTTAGCAGTCTGAAGTGGTAGTGAAGGCACTCCAAGAAGAGAACTGCAGCAAGTGCGGCATTCCCAACTGGAGATTGTACTCGACGAAAAAAATTTAATCGATGAGGAGTCGCTGTGTACTCGTAGTCTCAATCGACAAAACCTCGAGCCTAAGCTCGAGAGGTGAGGCGCGTATGTCGTACGAACAGATTCTCATGTGTTCGACTTCATACGGCCAGTTCAATTTCAAGGAGAAGAGCGCGTCTTCAACCTCAAGACCCTAGCCTCGCATTCTCAGATGCCGCTCATCGTTGCGCACGACAAAATGAGGACCGAAGGCCAAGAAGTATTATCGAGCTGGGCGCTGTTTGAACAGCAATCTCCAGCGAGGAAAACCAAGACCGACTGCGTTTTCGTGCTCTCAGGCTTCAGGGGAGCGACAAGCGGAGGAAGACGTACGACTTGACGGAAGGAGCAACCATTTTGACTGATTGACGGAGGGTGCTGCGACGACTGCGGTGGTTAGTGGAGGGATGGGTGGTGAGCGTCCGAAATTGAAATGTTCTTGAGGTTAGAAAATTAGGTGGGCTTTCTCGCTTGCTGCTTCAACCGCTTTACGGCCCGTGCGCGGCAATTTGCGCTATCGCACTCTTCGTGCGCCGTATGCACCTGGTCTACCTACCTATCCATTGGTGGTCACCTCCCAATAGGAGTAGGACGACTTCCAGCGATTATCTTTTACTTGTCTCTATGAATCCTGTGCATGCCCACATGGCAGCCACTACTCACCTTGCGTCCTGGCTTCGGTTTGCTGCGGCGTTCATGTCCCGTGCCTTTGATTGACACAGCGAAGTTAACGAGCACTCAGTATAGTAATTCTCTCCATTCACAATATTTGGGACCTAGAATCTCTCAGATATAATTTTCTGTCTTTGAGCCTCTATTACGCCAGTTTATTGCTATTAATACTAAAAAAATCTGCTCAAATCCCACGTTTGGCGTCGACTCAATGGCTACCTTCATCCGGAAAGCGTATAAGAAGCTAGAGGATAGAAGCAGATTTACAGGCACCCACCGTGTAGGATTGTGAATGGCTTCTACTTTAAGTTGGCTATGAGAATCATTTAAGTATACCGCGACAATAGGACACAAAATAGTTGTATAATTACAGTGCATAAGGATACGTAAGAGTCCATGCTATAGATGATTCTTAATTGGAAATAGATAAGAGCAACGATTCTAAGCAACCTCATTCGTGAGGATGGACAAACAAAATAAGGAGAACGGAACACAGACAGGATTGGCTATGTCCTTCGAGCTGATCAAAAACTTCCAACCACCAAGAAGGGTATTAACATGTATATCCGGCTAGGGTTTACGTAGTCTTTCGCACACATCAACCGTCATAAAGAGAGATAAAAGGCATCGCATCTTAAGACGCCTTGTTGGTAGCTGGAACTCGTTGCTAGCTCAAAAGTAACTAATTTGATTGTATTGATCTCCATCATTCATACACGACAAGGCAGTCAGCGAAACATGCAATCTTAGTGTAAATGCTTTTGTTTCTCGATCTACTCATAGTCTGATGATACCCATTCAACGAGCATGACGCGTGATGCCCTTCATGTCGCATGAGCCATTAGCAAAACAACATGAACCCCGAGTGCAAGTGAAAACGAAAATCATCCGCCCCAAATCTATGCCTGAATAGCCCTGCCCAGCGCTCCTCCGGTAAACTGTTGACCACGTGGGATACCGCTCGAACCACCCCTACCGCGACCCCGGCCACCGCGCTGGCCACCACGGCCGCCCCGGCCACCCTGGCCACCTTGCCTCTCAAAGGCGTTGGCGGTGCCCTGCGTCCTCTGCTCAAGGGTCTTCTCGTTAGCCTCGATAAGACCGCTGGCCTTGTCGCTGAGGGTGAGAGCCAGGCTCTGCAGACGAGACAGCTCAACGCCCTTGCGGAAGATGATGGCATTGTTGACTTGGTCAAGAGCAGCAGCAAGCTCTTCATGCGAAATCATCTTGCTGACAACAGCCGATACCTTCCTGTCGGACAGCTCGAACATGGACACCAGTGTGCTGATGGAAAGAGTGTCGTAGAAGGGAGCATACGTGAACAAGTATGTCCTGAGGCCCTCCTCCTGAATCTGTTCGGACAGCATGACCTTGATCTTGTCGGACTGTGCCATGAGCTCCCAGATCTTGATGGAGTTGATGAAGTCCGCAGCCTTCTTCCACTCGCCCGCGGCAAGAGCCTTGGAGGCCTGCATGACGTGGTCACGAGTGTTCTCCGGGGGACCGGTGAAGATCTGGCGCTCATGGTACTCTAACAGACGACGGTAGGTCTTGCTGATGACCCTCTTCCTGACGTCGGGGGAAGAGCCAACTTGGGCAAGCAGGGGGATTTCCAGAAGCATGGAACAGGTGAGGTAGACGCACTCCAGAAGCTCCAGGTTAATGTGCATGTGGAAGGGGAGCTGGCGCTGCCTCTCCAGGCGCTCCTGTTCGGGAGAAATTTGGGAGTAACGCTGCATTTGAAGGCCCTGGGCCAAGAGTTCCTTCTGCCTGTTGCTGCCGCAGATTTCCTGGAGGGAGGTCTGCGCCTCGTAGACGAGACCAGCCCTGAAAGCGCAAAGACCGACCTGAACCAGAGTGCGGTTGAAGAGAATCTGGGAGTTGACATCAAAGTTGGAGATAGTCTCCTGGAGGTGAGACATGAGCATCATGTCACGAGCCTTGTAGTAGTGATCATGCAGCGCAAGGAAATAGATCTGGCACAGCATGGCGCGGGCCCTAATGATGCCCTCGCTGTGCTGGAACAGGTACGTGCACAGAGTGGAGACGAGGCTGTGGATATCGGATGCCTGGGAACGCGAGGTGATCGAGGAGTTCAAAGATTCCGGCATGCTCTTCCAGGTGTTCTCCTCGAGGATCGTGACAACCTGAGCAGGCTTGAAGTACAGGTGCTCCAGGCGGCGCATGATGATCCTGTTGATGCTCTCCTGGGGACCCTGGTGCTTGTCCTTGACAGTCTCAACATACAGCATAGCCCGAGCAATGCCAGCGTAGAGAGCAGTCTCGTCCGTCAGCCTCTCGACGTACTCGGCCGTGTGCGGGTCAATTTGCTGAAGAGCACGGGTGAGCTCGTCGTCTAGTCTCTCCACGAAAGAGGTGATGCTGCCGGGCATCTTGAAGGTCTCGCCGTCGGTAATCGGAGGCTGCTTGTCGTCGTCTTCCCACTCTTCGGCGCCCTCAATAACAACCAGTTCATTGCTGCTCTCGAGAATTTCAAGGAGCAACTTGAATTCCTGGGCGGCCCTAGATGACCGTTAGCGATCACATACAATCCATACCTTGTGGGACAACTTACAGTCTCCACTGCTCCTGAGACATCTGGTTGCCTGTACCAGAGCTCAGATCAAAGCGGGTCGGGATCAGCGTTAACAGAACTCGGACCTTCTGGTATTCGTTGGCAGCGACATCAAGCAGCTTTTCCATGACTCGGATCTGCTCAAGGCGGTCGGTGTTCTTACGGCCACGAGACTCGACGATAGCGCGGAGGTGCTTGAGAATGCTTTCGGGGGTGTACTGCACGGCTTTGCCGCCGGCGCCGACCGTGATGAACCCGTCGTCATCAGCGCCAGCAACCGCATCACCTTCGCTAACGATCGATTTCTTGGCCTTCTTGGAGGGAGCAGGCGCGGCCTCTTCGATGACATTCTCCTCCATGTACTTGTCCTTGTCGGCCCTGTAGGACTCGATCTCCTTGACGTAATCCTGCTTGACCTTGCGCATGCGCTGGCGGACGGCGTTCAAGCCACGGGTGTTGGTGGCATTCATCTTCTTGGGAGAGACCTTCTGCTTCTCCAGAGTCTCGAGCATCGTGGTCTCCAGGTCGGCGATCGCCTTGACGTACAGCTTCGGGACCTTGCCATCATTTTGCCTCGTCAGGCCGGGAACCTGGCGGTTCATCTTGTCGAACTCTAAGAACAATTATCAGCAAATAGTCCATAGCTTTCATCGCGGCGGGAGCAGCTTACCGGAAGAAATAACTGCCCAGTCGTTGATCTTCTCGGCATTCTCGATCAACCGGATGGTGCCCTCGAGTTCTTCATACCGCTTGTCTTTTGCGCTCTTGACGATGGTGACTCCAGTGTCTTCCTCGTCACTTTCCTCATCGGAAATATCCTTCAAGAACTTCGAGGCACCACGGCCACCCTCGTCCTCGTCGCTAGACTCCTCCTCACTCTCTTCCTCCTCGGAGCTGGACTCCTCCTCTGACTGCTCCTCCTCGGAGTAGAGCTCCTCCTCCTCGGAAGAGCTCTCGCTGGAGCTGTCGCCGGCGAAGAAACGAGACATGGTGACAGGAAGCTTCGGTTCGGAGTCTGTTGTTGGGGCGTCGGCCGGGCGCGTGGGGTGTCGCAGTTCTTTTTGCCTTGTCGGACGAGCCTAAACTTACTATTTCGCAGTTGAAGCGAACGCACCGCATTTTCAAAGTCTGTGCTCGTCACGTGATTGGACATTTGCCTGCTGCCAAGGCAGCCACTTTCTGCCAACATCCAACATCTGCGAACATTTACAAACACCAAACGTAACATTTATTATCTCTTACCATTGTGGTTACTGTGCAATTGTATGCGAGGGTTTTACGCTGTCGAGCTGCCGAGCACGAAGTACAGGCTGCCGAAAACAGCAATGGCATTGTTGTCCCGCGCTGCGCTTCAAAGAACAAGCAATGTCAACCGTCAGAGATTCTTTTGATCACTGGGACTAATCTTTGCCTTCCCGCATGAAGGCCTCTGCAACCTTAATTTCCCTCGGAATGATAGTTCAGTATGCAAAACTCAGTGGAACTAGTTAACAGCGAGGAAGCCCAGTACTCAACATTAAGAGCAGTGATTGGGCAATAGTGTCTCTGATCCTGATCCTGGACAGTAGGTCTACGTAGGGATAAGTACGATTTCAAAGTTCAGTCACAAGCAATCTATCACAGTAAGGTGGTACGGAAAATGTTCGATCCACTGTCGCCTACGACGCTCGAGAAATATTGCGCGGTTAGTCTAAACAAAATGCTGTTAGCGGCCAACATATTTTGCGTCCGACTTATGTGGCCTGAGAGACATTTGGTAAAAGCCAAAAGTTCGGGATACTTCAACAAACCAAGACTCATGACCACCCAATCTTCAATTTGTCGACGTCACCAACGTCCTCATATCCCCGACTTTCTTCGCAATTTCAACTTTCAAGGTGTACATTGTCGCGGTATAAACTCTACCGAAGCCTGTCAATCTACTTGCACATAGTACTCTAGGTATTACGGTTTGCTTCAAACTGATCTTCTTTTACCCTGTCGAGTTCTAACCCCTTTGACATTGCCCGTTGTGTTTGATTTCTCGGTGCCTAATCACCTATACATATGTTTGATAGGGACGGATTGTTCCAAGCTTGTGTCTAAGAGTGTCGAATTGTAATTACTTCTGTGTCATAACAACCGCACATAATAAAATGCCTCCTAATGCGTCGAGAGCGTTCTCACTGTTGAATTTTCGGTACATAACGATGTTCCATATCGGTATTAGCTGAGTTTTTAATCGTCACTGCCCCATTGAGACGGCTTAACGTTCATTTAAAAAATATAGACAAGAGAAAAGTTCAGCCCAAAGTAGGGTTTATTGACAGTTAAGTAAGTGAATATTAGAAGATTGATTTAAACACTAAATGCCTAGATCTTTGAAATTTCTTATCCAACCTAAACTACATATTAAATGATGCCTGTGGTATTCACTTTGCATAGCAAACCTAAGGGTATCTTTTGAAAACATTTACCTTTCGGCAAACAACGATTACTTATGGTATAAATAGTGAATATATATTGATATAAGATGTAGACTACTATGTCCTCTAAAGGTGTTCTTAAAATCACTAAGCTATAAAGCATTGTGTTATCCATGTCACGCGTTAGTAGTTAAGCTATTGGCGTATGGTAGAATTGCCGTCATCGGGGACTGCAAAACCTCGCGATTTTTATCAGTGAACGATGCCTCAAGTTCGAGATAGAAAGCCAAACAATCTTCTCATCATTAGGCTCGGCGTATGTAGCAACCTTGGAGGCACCACGGGTGCGCCTGCTAATGGCGGTAGAGAGATCGATGGCTTCCCTCTCATCATGCTCTAAGACATCTTAGCATATTTTACCGGAAAGAACTCCTAGGAAGATTAAAAATGGAGTTGCTGGTCACTATCCGGAGTGACAGGGTCTATAGGGTCCTCGACGTAGGCATTGTCATTCGGGACAGAGTCACAGATTGGCCAGTGCGACGTTCTTAGTCGTTGTCTCCAGAAATTCCGGTACACATATCTTTCGTAGAAGCACACATCTTGGCCGAGGCTGGTTGATACACTTGGGATAGGACAAAGGAACAATATTCGAGTAGTTTTATCTCCTGAATGTGTAGTTAATGTTGTCAAATATAGCAGTATTGTTTAGAAAGCGGAAATCTATATCCCACGGTAAGGGCTTACCTTCTGCTGTACATCACCGAGCCTATCTTGATGTCACCCATGACATATAGTTTGTGCCCCTACCCTAAGGGAAGGACAAAGCCCGTGGAGCTTGAAGAATGCTGCACAAGTGGAAATTGGCGCCGACTTTAATGAGCATATTAGCATCTTTGTGACTCCATGTAGAGGCGTCCAGGTCCGATACATGTAAATGATTAGAAGTCGTCATTAGAGATGTAGTGCAGCTTGCGTTATCATCCAAAGCAGTGTAAACACCGAGATTATCAGCTGTGGGCAAGGCCGTGCCGCCGTGAGCGTCAACACTACGTCCTTGTAGCTAGCGTCAAGAACAGTATTAAATCCGCCACTACAAAAACAAATAAAAAAAATAAGCAAACAGGCCAGCGTACGCTGGGGGGGGGGGGGGGGGGGGGGAAAAAAACCAAAAAAAAAAAAAAAAAAAACGATAGGCCTCCGTCGATCCTGAAATTGAATTCATTGTGAAAATCAATCGTTCGTCGTTAATATTGGAACTTCGTGGCCAGCGTGTCTCGACGCGACGCGCTCGTGTAAAGTGCTTGCATCGTCTCCACTCTGGCGCCATGCATCACCCCGGACCCGAGGGGGCCCCGCCATTGATTGACAGGGTCTGACCACGTGCCAGACTTGGGCATGCACGGTATATGCACTCACCCTAGGGTTTATTTCGTGTTCGCGTACGTGCGAAATATCAAGAGCAAAAGGTGGTGATGTCTTTTCAGGTTCATTGAACAAATCTCATGAAGAACCCCGGTTCCCCACAACAGAGTCAAATGCAACCCAGTGAGTACACTTGGACAGCCACGCAATACTTGCTAGCTTACATATCGCTCAGTGTTCGAAATATAGCGCCAGATACTCTGTCATTTATAAGCATGTAGAGCTTCAATAGTAGGCAATACAAGTAAGCTCTGTTTTTTAAAAGAGAAGGACGAAAAGCTACAGCGAAAAAAGGTGAAACATATCAGGGTATTCGTTGGGAAAGCGAAAGCTTTCTGAGCCACAAGCAAGAAACCCCATAACCCATGTGCAATACAATTTCCCCCTGTCGTTAGAATACTACCTTTGCCGCGCTGATTCAACATGAAACATGGGTACGTTAATGACCAAATCAACGGAAAGGCAGCTAAGGCGGGTATAACCTAACCACGAGAACCATGTTATGGTTTAGGCCTTAGCCTTCCTCGTCCTGAAAGCGATCAGCCGTGAGAATCATTGAAATGGTGAGAGGGAAAGGATACAAACCTCTTCTGGGGAGCGGCCTTAGTAGTCTCCTTGTCCTTCGACACAGTCTCGTCCTTTTTAGTGTCCTCGGTGGCAGTGGCAACCACGTTCTTAGCCTTCTTTCCCTTGCTAGGCACTTTCGGGGTTTCATCATCCTTGGCTTCCTCAGTAGCGGCCTTCTTAGCACGAGAACGCTTGGGCTTCGGAGCAGGTTCCGCCTTTTCAGAAACAGCGGCCGCTTCTTCAGAGGTATCAGCAGCTTCTTCGGGGGCAGCAGCAGCTTCTTCAGGGGCAGCAACCGCTTCTTCAGGGGCAGCAACCGCTTCTTCA